ACTTACAAATGCCTGGTTAAATAAAAGAAGTTTATCAACGAGGTTTATAAAAATGATGAAATTGTGTTCTGGCCTGATCTAGCCTCTGCACACTATTAAAACAAAGTACAAGATTACCTAAAAAGCAAAAATATCGAATATGTGCCAAGACATAAACCCTGCTATTGTGCTTGAATTGTGTCCGATTGAGGATTTTCTGACTGAAATTAAAAGATTGGTGTATGCAAACTATTGGCAAGCTAAAATGTTTTGATAACTAAGAAACCTAATAGTATTGTATGAAAAAAATTGATCAAAATTGCAAACATAAGCTTGGGGCAACTACCTTTACAAGATATATATTAGGGTGGTAGCAAAAAAATATATAATTAAGGTAATGAATAGGACAACTTTTAGTAATGTACCTTTTGATCATAGAAACTACAGTGGAAAATATGTTTAAAATATTCTGACATTAAGGGGTGCCACGCAACAACACAAATTTTAAACCTTTGTGCTAGCATTGCCGTCAAACAAAAAAATAGCATTTCAAATAGCATTCCCTCTTCAGATACCAGGTAAAATATATTATACCAGCATACATGACTGCAAATGTCACATGTTGTACTGCTCTATCAGCTAATAAAGTTCAATCAAACCTAAGACATGATCATTGGTAAACTGTCTAAATTTGATGAACCCATAATTGCATCAGACATCAGACTATTTTTTATTCTTAAACAAAATGTTAATTTATTTATATACTTAAATTTTACTATTACAGTAGAACCCCGTTAACTCAGACCATGGATAAATCTGACTTTTACTAAGTTGGATGGATTTTCAATTCCCTATAAATTTTCCACATCAACTTACTATAAAATCATCAAGTCAAATCAAGTTGGACCATTCACTAACTCATACTGTTTTTTGGGGTCCCTTCAGCAAAATACTTTTTGAATTGCATTTAAGCGCATAAAATTGAAAAAACTTCCAATATTTCAAAAAAAATTCCAAACTTTGAATGTTCAGAAATAAAATAGCTTTGAGTCAAATATAACTAAACATAAAAATATTTTCACTGATCTCTTTGATTCCGTTAAACTCTATTTATTAATGACTATTATATTAAAAAATTCAAAAACATCAATAAAAATTCAAAACTTAGGACGTTTGAAAATTAAATACCTTTGCATCAAATATAATTTAACAAACTAAACTTCTTTGAAGAAGTGAACACTGTTATCTTCGATTTGGTTAATCTTTGATTAAATTTTATTTATAAAAAAAGTTGAAGGTTGCTAAATTTCTATAACAGAAAAATACATAATACTAAAAGAGCTCCACAAACATGTTATTTGTGGCTTTCAAACACCCGACACCAAAACATTCCTGTGTCATTATGTGTCAATAAATCTCAGTTAGCCTGACATTTTCATAAACCATAAAACAACAAGAGCTTCACTTAATTTGGACATTCGCTAAGTCAGACAATATATGTATACACCTTCAGATTCTGAGTTAACTGGACTCTACAGTATATCTCAAAATCCATTGCAAATTTCACCATTTTGATTTGTTTAGCAGACAATCAATTACATTTCATAAACAAAAGTAATTTTTCAAAAATCTTGCAGCAGAAATACAATTATACTCTCGTGAACAGGTTAGTACTAAGTTTTTTATTATTATTATTTTTTAATTCTTTTTTTTAACTGTGAATATTAAATATTTACAGTCAAAAAAAGTATTGTATTTAAAAAAACCTTAACCTAACAGGCTAGAATCAATCCTAAATCCAGTTAACCAAGAAAATCCATCAAACTTTGGTATTCATTACAATAGAATTATTACCAGTTGCCTATCTCAATTTTGTTTACAATATTTATTACTCTTTGCAGAATGCTATGTTCAAAGCCTTTAACCAGATCTAGTTAGATTTACCAATGATTACATTCTCAGGGCAAGACTTCCATCAAGCGGGTTCTACAGTATTTTTTTTTTACCAGTTAAAGATCTAGCACAAAACTGCATGTGAGAGTGATGCATTACTAATGAAACGGTTTCAGATTTTTTGAATAAAACTCACTTGCTAATGACCACAATGCAACATGAAATGACTTGAGAAAATGTAAAATGATTTGATAAATTTACAGAAAGCAACAAAGAGATATGGAGCTACACAGAAACCTAAAGAGAAAATACTTGTTGAATCCCTAAAAAAATATATTTGACATTTCACATGCTGAGTCAGAGGTTTTAATACAAAATCCAGAAGACAAAGCATTTCTTCATGCTCAGCTAGGAGATGGTCATGGTACAAGTTAAATGATGCAAGTTGATAATAAGCTGGCAATCAAGGTGCAGAGGAAAAAAGAGAGAAAAGATGCAATAATGTTTAGAGCTAACAAGAAAAAGCGAGGAAGATTACAAGTATGGCAAATAGTGAAGTAGTAGTTGAAGTACTTGATTCAAAATTTGCAGGAAGTACTGAAAATGAGAAGGTTGAGCCTGATAATGACACCACATGACATCTAAATCTAAACAATCTCATCCAAAGCGTACTATCAGTCCGCATTTTGCAACAACTCTTAACAGAACAAAAATTAATGATCGCAATGCAGTCTATGTTTTTGCTTCATTCTCAGCTGCTGTTGATCAAACTCTAGCTGATCTAGCATTAAGTTATTAGTCAATTTGACATAGCAAAATAAAAAACAGCGATGATGCAATGACAAAGTTGAAGGACAGTTTTTGTAATGAGTTTTGAGATGTTCCACTTGTAGTCCAATGGGATGAAAAATTGTTGCCAGATATTTCTGGAACAAGTGGACCAATTGATTTTTGATATTTCCATGAAAAAAGTGGACCATTTACCTATCCTTGTTTACAAGAAAGGTGTTGAAAATCTTTTTAATGTACCTAAGCTACCTAACGGCAAAAGAGAAGCAATGGCAAATGTGGTGGTCGCAGCAATCAACAACTGGTGTTTAGTTGAAAATATGAAAACGCTGTCATTTGACACTACTACTAGTAGATCTGGAATGTGAACTGATGCAGCTGTTCTAATTGAACAGATTTAAAAAACATTACTACATCTAGCATGTCAATGGCCATTGATAGTTCATGACAGAATTGCAGATGGTATTCAGGAAACTTTCAAAGTAATGATTAACAAAAAAGAAATGATCAAAGAGGCTGTGGAATTTGTGGTGGCGTTTTTGCAGAAGGAGATTCAGCCTCGTGATGATTCCCAGCTAACATAAAATGTTCAAGAATGTTCTACAAATGTTGTGAATGTTTATAGCACATTATTGAATGTTCGCAACGTTTGTTGAACGTTTTGTGTTAGCTGGGCTAGAACAAATTCCATGATTTATAGTTAATTTATATATGATATATATATATCCCTATCTATATATCCCACCTCAGGCATCCATGTGGCCATACCCAGAGCAATGCATCAGTGTGAAATAATTCAGGCCAAAACAAACTTTTACTTTTTTTTTGTGTATGTTTTTCTTATAGTATTGCTCATTCTGATTTCAAATGTGCAATCTTTTCTTTTTTCAATCACGTCAAGTTTTAAAGATATTAAGGTTCAAATCCCTAATATTGTCAAAATAAATAAAAAATTTTCTAAAAGTATGTCAACCTGGGTCTCAAAAAAAGTGTAAAAATATTAGCTTGTTATAAAAATGAATATTATAAATTTTATTGGTGAAAAACATTTTTTTGATACTGGAAAAAATTTTAGAGTTGATACCGGAAACAATTGCATGGAATTTGCTTACCTTTTTATATTCAAGTACAAAGGTACTATCAATAATTAGCCCAGTGTATGAACCTTACTTTTATGTCTTCTAGTTATTTATTCTTAATTATACCAGAAGTATCTTAACAGCCCATATTAATATAAAATATAATCCAAATGATTAAAAACAACCGCAACCTTTGGTAATTGTGCTATTGCAAATATAAATGTGAATGAAAAGTACTAATTAGTAAGCCAATTTAAAATTTAATAAACTCTAAAAAAAACTTATTATAAAAAGTAATCAAACACATGTGGTAATTTCACTGTAGATAAAAATTAGTTTAATTCTTCTCACCTCCAACACTGTTTAAAATTATAATAAAATTCACTTTTATTCGTTTTATAAAATTCTTGCATGACAGTAAAAGTGAGAAATACTTCCTTATATGCTTTCTCATTTTTCATATTCGATGCTTTTCTCAAAATAAAGCAGATAGTTTAGGTAAAAGCATAAAAAATATGGCAGGTCAAATTTTAAATCATTCATTAATTTTGTAATAAAAACTATTGGAAAGACAAACAAACTTTATTTTAATCTAATTTGTCATGCAAAATAAATTTTAATACTCTTTTAATGATCAATTAGGATTTTTGTCTTGTATTCTTGATTACAAACTATATATAAATTTCTTATAGGATGTGTAAAACAACAATTTAGCTATTTATACTATAAAATTAGATTGCTTCATTAAAATAAAACACCGCTTTGATGGTTACTAATGGAAGTAAAAGCAGAACTTTAAAAATTTATCGACATTTAGCATTTTTTTAAAAAGTTTAATTTTGAGATATTAAGAAATATTGAATACTTTTGATGCCTTAGAAAAAAAGTTTCAATGTAAAGAAAATATATTTTATAGTAAGAGTTGACAATTTTTTTTAAATACATAAATTTTAAACCTAAAGTCACTTTCTTGTATAAACTAGATTATTAGTAATTTCAAATACTATAAATTTAAAGGTTAAAGTGTATGCATACTGACTGATATTTATAGCAAGTGTTTATGAATCTCTTCTAATGCTTGTTAAACCAATACAGATAAAAGTAACTTTAAAAAAAAACAACAACAAAAAAAACAACAACAACTTAATTAATTTGATTAAAATTTCTTGTGGCTTTGAAATTAAAATTATGTCTATTATATATTAAATTGAGAAAAAAAAATACGAGTTCATCTACGCATAATATATTATTGATTCCAACCTTTACTATTGCCATTGGCATCTTCATTATATTGATTCGCATTGACCTGAGGAATAAAACATTTATTATACATTAAAACTGCAGAAGGAAACTTGCAGATGACATTAATTGTTGCAATTACAAAACTTTGAACAACGATATAGTGTGCTTAAATATACGTAAAAACAAGTAATCAAAATTTAACTGACAAAAACAAACTACTTTAGTTGCAAAGAAAACACGGAAAACTAGATTTTTATACCAAACTAGCGTTTAATACTGATCATAAATAATTTTTTAGTGATCAAACTATTGTTTAATTGAAAACGCAACATTAAATTGCAACGTAACTTAGACCATTTTACCTTAAGATTTGTGCCTGGCTGAACATCATTCAAGGAATGACTCTGCAATTGCTGAGTAATAAATTGAAGCATTTTTGAAAAAATTATTTTAATTTTGCATAAAATAAAATATCTTGTAAATGGACAAAGAATTTTATTCGCTCCACAAGAGCATCTTGTGGCTCTTCAGACCATCTCATCCGATATAGTACTGTAGTACTGCAAATGTTTATGAATGATTTTTGCAGTTTGTTATAATTTTGTCTCTTTAAATTTATTTCGCATAAAAACAAAGTATAACTTTTTTATTGTTTTTTAAACTAGCTATTGGTACAATGTATCAGCATAAATTATGTTAACTTATGCGATGTGTAATTTATTTTAGTTCCTAAAATTATGTCAAAAACAGTTGTTATAAATTTTAACTGCTTAAAAAAATGCAAACGTCAGCACAACAATAAAAACAGTCGTGTTGCACAGATAATAATTTAAATCAATTTTTATCATATTACTACAACTCCATTTCAACTAAAAATCTAGCCGGCGAGAGTTTTTTTTTATACACAATTTAAAATTTCATAAAACTTTGATTTCTAGCTTTAAGACAGCAAAACCTTTTAAAGTTGTTAATGGACATGTAAATCGAATAAATTGAAAACAAATAAAGGTTTTAGTTGTAAATTAAAAGCGTTATAAAAGTATTTAAAATTTAAGAAGTTACAAACATAGATTTCACTTTCAGTTAAACACTATTTTTAAGCGTTTAAACGACTGTTTTAAAGGTTTGTTTTTTTTAAAAAACGATTGTATTTCTAAAATCAAATTCAAACAACTTCCTCTTTTTTATGCAACTTTTATTTTTAACGTTTTTATATATGCGGGTAATTTTTTTAGATTGATCTACAACTCAGACATTACATTTTTTTATAAGCTTATGTTTTAGATTTTGTGAACACTCATATTTAAAGTAATGGCTCTTTTAATATGCTTAGCCTGGCTTTGTTAGGCGGCCAATGTTAAAAGTAATCCAGTATGACATATGTAACATACAAGTCAACAAATATTGTAAAAAAGTTAATCGCTGACACACGTTAGTTTAATAATTAGGCTTTTTAAATGGAGATATCAAAAATTTAATTACTAGTCATTACATTGAAGCACGGGTGTATAAAATTGCTGTAAAGCCACTGTAAAGCTAAAGTCAAATATCAAATCTCACTTTGTTCAGTTTTTTTATGTTTTCGCATTATACAAATCAATTAACAAAATAAAATTTCTGTATTTCAAAAAGAAAACAACTGTCGCACATATTTATTACCATATACAACTGTCGCACATATTTATTAACATTTACATAACAAAATCGAAAATTAGAAAATAATCAAAAAGAAATATTTAATAAACATGATTGTAATTAACTATCACTATTACGTTCAATTACAAAATCTTCATAGAAATTTACAAAATTCTTAGATCGGTTTTTATTTTTCTTAAAAAAAAAAAAAAAAATCTAGTTTGACATCTCTCAATAGGACTATAAAATTTTCAATTCACTAAAAATAATATTGAAACAAGATAATATATTTTAAAAAAACCAATAATAAATAAAAACGAGTTGAACATCCATCACATTTCTCGTAGCGAAACCAAACTGCTATTAAGCAACGATACTTGTGCCTTAAAAAAAAATTACATTTCTAGTTTAAAATATACAATAAAAAAAAAAAAAAATGTTAATTTTTAAAACTTATACTAAGTATTTTTACGCTGTTTGTGATGTAAATTACGCTGTTTGTTCAATAATTATCGATAAAAATCAAATAGTTTTTAATTATTAAATTCTTTTGTAGTTGTTGTTGTATTAATACATACATATTCCGTAAAATATACAAACAGCAGGGAAAGTGGTAACGATTAGTTCTAAGATTAAATTGACGTACACTGATTAATCGGTGGATATCAAAGAAAATCAAATAAGTATAAAGAAAATTCACTTTTATTGACTAAATTTGATAAACTGAAACACACAAGCAACATAAAAACCGGAAACATTTGAAGAGCGTTTTTCTAAAAGACTCATTATTATTATTTTTATTAATAAAAAAACTAATTATCCGGCGAAGTATTTTTTGAATATTAATAATATTGCAATCGTTAAGGTGATGAACAATTTTTTAATTCATAGTAACACAGTACCTTTTTCAATACAGAATCCAAAAGTTAAAAAAACTTATTTTTGAAAAAAATGGACTTGGTTCATTTTTACAAAAACGCACTTCATTTGGAATGCAACTCTTTAAAAATCTAATAATTCTGTAACAAAAAATTGAATAAAAATATTTTGAATTTATTAATAAGAAACTGTTTTGAATTTATTTCAAAAAACTCACTTAAAATGTATTAAAATTTTTTAAAAATGTATTAAAACATCTATTGAGAGCATTTTATGGTGTCTTAATGTTTAAAAAGATTTTAAAACAAATTGTTACCTTTGCGTGTTTTAGTTCCAGTTCCGCCAACTCAATCTGAAATAATTTTAAAGTAAAATTAAAAAAACAAATTAACGATTGTTGCAACATTGCTACCCGTTTGATTCAATAATATTTAAATTTACTAAAGATATCATAAATTTTTACAGAAATAAATCAGGTGTCATAATACTAAAATATTAAAAAATAATTTTTTTTTTTTTTCACACGGTCGGCAAAACTTTATTCAATGTTTTTTTTTTGCTGATCACAATATGTTAACTAAAATAAAGCATTAAAGATAAAGGTGTAGCTAACGTAGTGTTTAAGATAATACTTTTTGCATATTAGCCAGGTTTGATTGAAATAAAATTTAATAACTTTTTTTATATTGTTTCGAATTTGCAAAAACATTACTTAGCAAGTATGTCAAATATATAATAGATAAATTAATTATATACATTTTCCAATCTTTTTTATATAAACACGCAATAATAATAACAATAATAATAATAATAAAAGATCGTAATGGGTTCAATATATTAACGTTCAACACAGTTTACGAAAATGCATTTAAAAACTTTATCGACAAATCCGATAAACATTTCGAACGACCTTATGTCTTTGTAAAATAACTCTCACTCGTAGCCAGGCCAGATTAAACATAAGTGACGTATATTCATACGAATATACTTAAAAAGATTTACGTTTAGTTGTTTTGATCCTTTTTATCAATTTTTTATCTGATCATTGTATAATAATTTATTTTTATTGATTTTTATTAATGATATATAAATGTATAAATAGAAAATTTTGCTGCTACATCAACTTTATGTTAACCTTTAACAAAAATAACGAACATAAATAACAATAATATTATATTAAATTTTTGAATAAATAAAAACAGGCTTAAGCAAGTAACTTTTTCATGTTTTCAAATTTCATTAATTTTAGTACCATTGTCCAATTTCATTTTTTTCAATATTTTTGAAAACAATGAAATTGGACAAAATTTATATTTACTTTTCTTTATTCTTCTTTCTTCTTCTTTTTTGTTTATTACATGCTTATTATCTTTAATAGTGAGTTATTTGAAAACCAAATTGGTATTCAAGTATCAAAGTTGTTTTAAAGACCGACTTGGTCTTTAAAGGAACTAAAAGAAAAGTAATACTAATATAAAAATGGATTTAGAAACATGACTTATTACAAAAATGACAAAAGTTCATAAAGAATAACGCTATAACATTTAAGTGCACAAATTATACAGAGTTTAATATTTTTAACGCATAATCTAGAGCTAGTTCCTTCATAGCAGCTTATACTATTTTTGACAAATAAATACTTGGATAAGTGGATAATAGGAGAATTCAAAGTTAAATTTTATAAAGTTTATATAAAAAACACTTCATAATATTTTAAATGATACTTTAGAAAACGGTGAGCTAACAATTTTTTTTGGGAATATCACCCTAAAGTATTAAAGTTAATTTTAGACTAAAAAGTTGTAGGACTGGTACCTACACATTATTATTGTTAAGAAATGGTTATCTTAAAAGATAATCATTTCTTAATGATAGTAAAACTTCTATGGTTTATCTTAAAAGTTACTCTAAGAAACTACAATTCTAATAAATTTATTGTTAGGTAAATAAAATATTACTTACAAGATTTTTTCTAAAGTGAGAAACTTTTTTCTTCTTAAGATCAGCTAGTTCTATAAATAATGTACAACAAAAGTAGTACAACGGAATTCAAATATAAGATAAAAATAGGGCTGCAGTTTAAATAAAAACATTTGAAGATCTAATTTAAAGAAAAAATTCATACCTATTTTTGCTGTATCAGATAGTGCTACAAACTTTTCATTGGCTGTTTGTTGCATTGAAGTAGCCTAGAATAAAAGTTGCAAAACATAAAGAATTTTATTTTATAAAAAACTGAAATTGTATATTATCAAACCATTGATGTTTTTTTTTTTTAAATCACAGCAAAATCACCTTGAATTAATTAATTAATAATGACATAATAAGTTGCTTACAGCCATAACATCTTTATTTTTAGCCCTAGCTTTATCTAAATTTTTATTAGCATTCTCTAAGTTGGCAAGCGACCTCATACGCCTATAGAGAAGTCCCTTAGCTGCCTCTGTGTCTCGCATATGGTACTTTAGCAGGTCACCTAATTTTAAATCCTCATCAGTTGCCATACGTCCTTCGAGTTTCTATTAAATAAAAATTATTCTTTCACATCAAATGAAATATAAGATAATACTCACAGTAACAATTAGTAATTAATAATTAAGGGATTAGTACACAACATCAGTGGTTTGTGTAAAATTAATAAGATTTTTTTCAGTATATAAAATCACTCTGGTAGTTACCAGTCCCAACTTAAGTTAAGCTTAAAAACTGATTCATGTTGTCATGACAGTAATAAAAAGTTTTAAACTATATATATTAAAAACCTCCATGCTTAGCATGATTTCAGAATTCTTAACCTTTCATTTACCTCTCTCAGCTACTTTTAACACTAATATTTAAAATAATATTATTCTAATAAAATCTGCAAATCCAACAAAACAAATGATAAAATTGAAAGCGCGCATCAAAATAACATCAGTGGTTGAATATATTTTTGACACTGTAAGAATATTCTTTTTAAATATTCTAATTCGTAAACGTAAGAATTCATAGACAGCACAGGATGTAAAAAATTTTTTCCCTAGAAAAGTATGCTTTTATACTATCTTATGGCAATCAATATGGCATCAATCAAGTTTTTAAGAAATTGTTCAAAGACTACTTAAAATTTCAAACATGTTCAATAAAGCATGTTGAATCACTTGCTTTAACTTTATTTGATAAAACTTGTGTGTTTTCCAATGTCTTCAAATTTACCAAGTGTCAGAAAATGAAGTTAGAAAATACATGAGTATACGAAGAAAACCTTTAAAGAATATCTTTAAAATTTGACTTGAATATTATTATTATTTTCTTTATTATTATTATTAAAATTTGACTTGAATATTATTATTCTTTATGGAAAGATCAAATTGTTTAAATTCAACCTTAGCAAAAAAATTAATTCAACCTCAAAAAAATTATAACATTTTTAGATATGAATACTAGCATTGAAGGAACTGAAAATCTCTTAATTATTAAAACAATTGTGAAGTGTTTGATAATATAAAAGACTCAACATTGTTAATCAGTGTTTTAATTAATTTTCCTCATTTTTGCTTTGGGTTCAACAATTGCTTTTACAAAAATGGAAGGAAAAATATGTACTTATGCAAAGTTTAATTTCAACATATAAATCAAAAAGTTTATTTTTTCAGTAAACATGCATAACAATAAAAGATTTTTTAAAATTAATTATTTCAATTTACATACATTCACACAGACAGAGATATAAACACAGAGGTTTTACATTATTTAAAACTAATCTAAATGCATATTGGAGGTTTTACATTATTTATTATTTAGTCTAAATGCATATTGGAGGATTTACATAATTTATTATTTTAGTCCAAACGGGTATTGAATATTTTACATAATTTATTTTTCTTTTTTAAATACATAGTTATAACAGATTTTACATAATTTATTTATCAGTATAAATGCATAATTATAAAAATTTCACATAATTTATTTTTTAGCTTTAATGCATAATTATAAGAGGTTTTAGATCATTTATCATTTCATTCTATATGCAATTCTTTAATTCTATTAAATGCAATAAAAGTTTGTTCTTTTGTTTGTTTGTTTTATTTAACACTAATATGCTTCTAACAAAGCTGCAAATTATCTTTGAGTTTGAAATTACAAAAAAGTACAAAAGAAAAGAGCAAGAAAACAGTTGAGAGAAGATTTAAAATTCTAAATTGTTTGAGTCAGGAAAACATGAAAACTGGAGAATTCCAAAGTTTTGATGTCCAAAAAAAAATAATTAAAAGTTTAATGAGCATGAAGAAAAAGTAACAATAAAACTGCTGTTACTGTTTGTTCATGCATTTTTGAGTTATGGTTGATGAAACAAAGAGCTTGAGCAGCAACCATGGTAGTAATTGTAGAAAAGAAAAAGAGATGCAAACTCCTAACAACAAGGCAACAGCTCAAGCTTACCAACTAAATCAGGTCTAACTTCATCATCAAAAATCAATTTTCTTATCAAAATGTTAAAGCAAAAGGTCACAGATACTCACTAAATACAGATACATCGAAGTTAAAAAAATCTCTATATTTTCATTCTCCACGTGCATATAAGATTCTTTAACAAATGTTGGGTCTTACTGTTGCCAGTTCAATATCACATTGGATATTACCTGTAAATAATGATCCTATTATATTCCATGAGGTTTTTTCATATCTTGGTAATAAAAAGAAGCCAGACACTAACTTTAAACATTGTGCCTTTATTACCTATGCTATGATAATCAAAAAAAGTATAACTTACAACAAAAGTATTGGTTATTGTGGTTTTAGTAAGGATATTACTGTATGTGTGCTTGATATACCAGTTTTTATGCTAGTTGGTTTTTGAAGACATTGGAAAACACACAAGTTTTATCAAATAAAGTTAAAGCAAGTGATTCAACATGCTTTTTTGAACATGTTTGAAATTTTAAGTAGTCTTTGAACAATTTCTTAAAAACTTGATTGATGCCATATTGATTGCCATAAGATAGTATAAAAGTATACTTTTCTAGGGAAAAGTATACTTTTATACTTTTATACAATATTTTATACTATCTTATTGAAACATTATGACATACATACAGTATTGACCATTAATAATAAATTATCATGCTCTTTTAGTATGATTATAAGTTTGAAATCAATTATTTTATAAACTAAAAGTGATTATTTCCTAAGTTTTTTTTTATTAAAAAATATCAAATAATCACAATATAAATTTATTATAAAGTAATAACAGTTAAATAAATTTAAAACTGAAATATTGAAATTAAAACAAGTGTTCATTTCTATCAAAAAAAAAAAAAAAAGATGGCCATAATAAACTAGCCACAAAAACAAAATTAACAAACATTAATAAAAAAATACTTACAAAACATAAAGAAAAAAAAAAAAAAAATTAATACTTAGTTGACAAAATATCCTTTTGCTTTTAAGCATTAATTGGTATGATTCGGCATGGAGTTCACTAAATTTTGAGTAATTTCTTTTGGATCACTATTCAGTAATTTTGTTACTAATTCTTTCAGCTGATTCAGATTGTTTTATTTCAATTTTATATATTACTTCAATTGTGGTTTAATCCAGACCACAAATTTTCTATGTAGTTGAGCTCTGAACTACTTGCAGGCCAAGACATGGTTTTAATGTTGTTTTCTTTCAAACAATTGCTTGCAAACCTTAGCAGCATGTAGCACTGATTTGTGGGAAGATTCCCATGTCTTTTGGGAAAATGTCAATAAAAGGCATCAAATGATTATCAAATATGTCTAAATATCTTAGAGAATCAAGCCTTCCATTAAATATTTTATTCAACTTAAACGTTTATTTCATCTCTGAAAAAATCGTTGCACAACATGCTCATAGACCAATTTTTATGAGCAATAATACAGTTAATTGTTAATTTTGGCCACAATAATTATTTTAGATTAGGAGATATATGTAAAAAAAAAGCAGTATAATTAGCACTTTGAATAATTTTTTTATGAATATTTACATTTATTTGTAAGAAAATAGAATGCTCATTAATATACAATTTTTATATTTATAAAGAGAAAAACAATCATTGATTTTATATCAATCAATGCCCAATGATATCAAAAAAAAAAAACATGCTGGATTGTTATTAATGGCCAATACTGTACTTTCTATCAAAAGATATTAGCTTTGATGGTACATGTACCAATTTAAATTCTATTGTTTCCATTAGATGTCAGTTTTGCAAAGAATTTGACAATATAGTCATTACTTTTTTATAACAACCAACTGGTACACATTTTTTTAGATCCAAGTCGAATGTTAAAATTAGCAAGAAACTCTCTAAATAGTTTAAGTGTTTTTAATGCTGATGACGACCTTCATAGAAGCACTCCCAAGAACATCTTGAATTGCTATTTATTTCCATTTGTGAATTTGTTACAATAAAAATCCTGATGCAGTGCAGTTAAAGTCATCTTTAAAACAAATTCTACTGAGCATTTCATACCTAATTCAAATAATGCTAACTACTTAATGTTTGAACCCTATTCTAATGGTTCTATTTTTTCCCACTTAATTGGAGCAAAAGGTTTTATTCTGTTAATAATGAAATTCAAATGTCTAGCTACAAAGAAGCAATATTGGGATAGACTTCTTGTTTTATAGTCAAAGAGTTGATAAATAATAATTCTTATAGTGTTTGTGCTTAATCATTATATGGTATTTTTAACAGAGAGATGAAAAACATCGGTCCATAGAACATCGTTAAGAAAATCACAAAAAGAATTCTAATCTTAATCCTGTCCTTAAGGTAGTAAGGGTGTAAAATTATACTTAAAAAGTAAGGGTGTAAAATTATAGTAAGGGTGACTTGATATAAAAAAAGTTCAAGGTTTAGGGAGATTGTAGCATAATCTTAACCACCTAAAAGATAAACTAAATGCTAAGGTCACAGACAAGATACAAATCAAATAATGAAGATAAGTAATTAGGGTTGTCATGAAAAGTTAGCTACCTGATTAAGAAAGAAAAAAAAATTTAAGCTTTAACTTCAGCACTGTCAGTGTTCAACTAAAGCCATTTACTTTAATGAACATTCAAAACAGTTAAAATGTAGATTTGTAGTATTTTTATCCCCAGTAACCACCTGATTGAGGAAAATTAATTTTAATGGAAAAAATGTTATTTTATTCTATGAAAAAAAATTGTTATTGAAGAAGGTAAATTTTTATTTTGAGAAATTTATTGAAAGACAGTTGCATCTAAATTAAAAAGCTGAAAGTTTTTGGTTTTAATAGATTAACATTGAAACAACAATTCGTTAATGTGATAGTTGCCATTTTAACCCCAAACTTGTCAACGGTAACAAGATAAGCTGAAAAAAATTCTTAGTAAAGATTAATTAAGAGTAACTTTTTCAGCATAACAACAAATTATTAGATTTGTGGGCCCTTGATTCAGTTTAAAAACTTTCATCCAAATGGAGGTTTATGGAAGTTGCAAGACAAACCAATGAACAGACAGGTAAGGCTATCAGTAAAAATGATGGAATAGTAGCCATCAAGTTAAAAGGTTAGGAAGAATAATACAAGATGATCATAACTCGTGTTATTTACTGCTTAATGCAAGATACTAAAAGAAAAGTAATATTTCTGAATTAGACTAGTAAAAAAGACTGAAAAGAAATTAAAAGAAATTGCTGAGAATGCTGTCAATAGTTGGCCCTGATATTTATCACCTTGCAAAAAACCAAAAAAACAATTGCTCAAAATCCAAATTTCAAAAAATGTTGCTGACAAAATAGTTTCTTATGTCCTAAAAGAAATATCTGTTGTTGGTGACAGTTGCAAAACTTGCAACAGAAAGAAACGCTCTACTAGTTCAAGTGTGTTTTTCTGTAGGCTGGATTTTCTAAAGTCTTTTTTTAATCTCTTTTATTATTCCGAACAATAGCATTCTAGGAGATCATTTCAAAATAGTTGATTTCCTACTCACTGATAAAAATGTAAAAAAAAAATTGAAAAAAAAACTGTTATCAGATATGGGTAAAATAGTAAAATGGTTTTGATGGATTTAACTGTGTTAAAGTTTCAAGTTTTTTACACCCTTTTAAAGTTCCAAGTTACACCCTTTTGTATTTAAAGATCCTAAGATTATACAAAATGGCCTTCAATTGTTTTATTTTAATTGTTTATTTTAAAATCTGGAATGTATTTAAACCCAGAGGAGGTTTAAAGAAAGTTATTCAATTTATTTTCAAAAGATTTTAACACTTTTTAGAACAATTTTAATTAAAATCAAAATTCAATATGTACAAGGGCAGGTTTTCATAAGCAGGGGCAAAGACCCCCAGTCAACATAGTGTTAAAAGAAATTAATATGTCAGTATTATATTTTACAGCAAGTCAGTAGTGTAACCCAAGATTTTTCCTGGTCGCCCTTTGGGTGACTGAAATATTGCTTATGTCTTACTTGAATAATCTCTTTTAGAACACAAAAATAAATATCTATTTTAACTATGACAAACAAAAGATTAAACATTAATGATTCAGATTCTAAATGTGATTCATTAATAATGTTTAACCTTAATGACTTGAAACACGATTATAACATATAAAAAAGTGATACATAATTTGAATTAAAAGAAAAGTGCTTCAAAATGCAACCACAACATTTTAAAAATATTTTCAAAAATATGCCCAATTTAATTCAAGTGGGTTGCTTTCTATTATGTTAAAATTATATATAGTGAAATTATATAATGCAACGCAGTGAATAACTATTCCAAATGATTTGAAAAGGTTACTTTAAATATTTACAAGGAATAAAATATGATTAAAAATATGTTTTTATTATTAAATACTCTTTTGTAAATAATAATTGTCTGATCATTTATTGTTATTATTATTATTTACTGGCCAGGCTATTGACTGGAATTTTCAGATAAAAATTTCACATAATTAGACTCCATCTCAAGGATTAATATGATGAACAGAAGATCTAGCTTTGAATTACATAAAAAACAAATATTGAAAAAAATTTTTTTTACATTAACATTACTGATTTTTAAAAACAAAAAAAAATCATAACAATTTTAAAACTTTTAAAAGTTTTAAAAATATAAAAACAATGTTTTTTTTCATGAGACTTATAATCTAGAAACTATAAAATTTATAAAAAGAAAAAAATTTTTAAACAAATATTTGCATACCCTTAATTTCTCCAGAGACTCTGATGCTTTTGTTAAAACTCTTAAAAAAAACATCAAAATGTTACATTAAACATATAAGCAAATAATATAGGAACCAGGGATGCAAAACCAGAACCAGAACTCTCTATTTTTGATTGGAGTCTTGAAAATTTTAAAATTGATTGGAGTCTTGAAAATTCTAAAAATTTTTTTGAACTACAGTGATTTCATTCCCTTACGTGTAAAAATTTTTAAAATCACATTTTAAACTTTGCTGATCTATAATTTTTCTTATGTAGAATTTAATTTTAAGACAAATGATGATGGGTGGAATGTTATCCTATTTTTGAAAAATTGCTATGAGTGCGTAACAGTTTAGATATGCTACACTGCTTCTGAAAATCTTTTGTTAATGCATCTGTAATATTGTAATGTTTTAAATGTAATATTTTACAGCATATTAATTTTTTTTTTAAGACACAGAACAACTTATGGATCTGTCACACAGAATAGACAACTTATGGATCTGTCACACAGAACAGACAACTTATGGATCTGTCACACAGAACAGACAACTTATGGATCTGTCACACAGAATAGACAACTTATGGATCTGTCACACAGAATAGACAACTTATGGATCTGTCACACAGAATAGACAACTTATGGATCTGTCACACAGAATAGACAACTTATGGATCTGTCACACAGAATAGACAACTTATGGATCTGTCACACAGAATAGACAACTTATGGATCTGTCACACAGAATAGACAACTTATGGATCTGTCACACAGAATAGACAACTTATGGATCTGTCACACAGAATAGACAACTTATGGATCTGTCACACAGAACAGACAACTTATGGATCTGTCACACAGAATAGACAACTTATGGATCTGTCACACAGAATAGACAACTTATGGATCTGTCACACAGAATAGACAACTTATGGATCTGTCACACAGAATAGACAACTTATGGATCTGTCACACAGAATAGACAACTTATGGATCTGTCACTGTTACAGCGCATTTCAAGAGAACATAAAACGATTTAAAATTTTTTGCATAATAAAATTTTTATTTTAAGAGGTGTGATAGATTAATAAAATAATTGAAAAAACTGCAGCATTGGAAAGAGGCATTTTACAAATTCATATATGGACAAATATGTATATTATTACATTGTTTTTTAAAAATTTCCATAAAAACAATAAATTCAAAAAACTTATTAAAGAAAAATTTTTTTTAGGGATCTGAATTTCATAGCCCCAAAAAATCAATAGGACTTTGCATCCCTGATAGGAGATTATTAGATTGAATATTATTAGTAAATTATGGATTTTAAATATATATTGAACATTTTATTTGCAAATTATGGATCTAAAATGTGAATGATGGACTTAAATACACATATATATAGATTTTATAGCACAGGGGTCTGGGTCAGGGGTCCTAAATTTTCTCAGTTGGTTTATAATTGTAAATGTAAACTGTATATTAATAATTATTTTCCAGCATGAATTTATTACTTTAACGAATCAAAAAAACAACAACAAAAGTAAATAGATAATATAGATTAGCTATTAAATGGAAATTTGAAATTATACTTAATATCTTTAAAATAAATAATACACTTGAAAATATACTTAAAACTAGTGTTGTTATAGACTGACTAAATCGATTAAAAATTGACTAGTTGAAAGAAGAAATGAGTTGATTTTAAAAAATCGAATAGCCAATTTAATCGACAATGAATGTCCTAAATTGTCCCGTTGTTGAAGTGGCCCTTCCCTCATATTGTTTTGCTCTATTAATATTTAAATGATATGATGTTAAAAAATGAAAAGCAAATAAAAATTACTTTATTGCTTTTATCAGAATTTACTTCGAAAAAAAAATTATTCTTATGATTTGACTAAATCGACTTAAAGTTGATTTAGTTGATTTCAAAAATGATAAAATTGACTGTTTCATTAAAATAGTGTTATTGGTTTTTAATCTGAGATTAAAACCTGAGAATTTAATGACCAGAAATATTTCTAGATATTGCAATTCGTAATCACTTAATTCGAGCCTTAAAATTAAAAATTTTTTGGAGCAAATTTGGATCAAAAAAGGTTTGACATGGTGTATTGCTATTATTAGATGAGCCAGTGCCACTGAAACTCAGTGCCACTGAGTTTATCTGCATATAAATTTAATTTTCCTAAAATCTTTTTTTTTTTTTTATATATATAAATTTTTTTTTGAGTTTTTACAAAATCCTAAATTGTTTTAACAATATCCAATTAACGTTTCAAATATTTTACTGTATTTACTACTGAAGGCTCAAAGACTACAGTTGAGAAAGCTCAAATGCTACAGTTAAGAAGGCTCAAACACTACAGTTGAGAACACTACAGTTGAAAAGGCTCAAACACTTCAGTTGAGTAGGCTCAACACTACAGTTGAGAAGGCTCAATCACTACAGTTAAGAAGGCTTTTCTATCTCTTTTTTTTAATTGTTGTTACAACTCTTTAACAAAGAAAGACATGCCTTGAAAACAAGGCTGCTGATCAGAGAAACAAGTTAAGCATGAAATTAACAAAAACATGGTGGGTATCAAACTCAGAACTTCTTGCACTACCACATTAAATGATATATTCTATGAAGTGGGTCCCACAGTCAAGCGGACTTTCTTTGTGTTAATTAAGTCATCTAATTAATAACTCATTTCAGTAAGTTTTCCCTTACAAGGCAGACAAAACTAAGAAGATATCGTCCCAATGATTTTTATTGAAACATTTTTATTGATGGCTGTTAAAAATAAAGAGCTTTTCCATTTCATAGTTATATTATAGTATGAAGAAGTTGTTTTTTTTAACAAAAATTTTAGTTTCAAAAATAAGTTGTTTACTTTCATCAGCATACTCAAAGATCATTGGTTTGCAAAATTAGGAGTAGGGTTTTCCCAAAGCACAACCTAATGAAGTTAAAAGTTTACAACTTATTCCAGTTTAAAGTTTAAGGGTAAAAATGAAACAAAAAAGAAAACCAACAGATAAGTTTTCACATAACTCATCAAACTTGATTGAATTGAAAAAAAACTACAGACTCCATCATCATCAAACTAACTAATCTAAGTTAATTTAGGGATATGATGGAAGAAACACACTACAATCGAACACATAACAATGCTAAATTTGGGAGAGTGATTGATACATCTTCTGTAAAACCTGGGACACAAAACCACCACAGATTCATTTCAACTAATAAAGTTTGCACTCATTTGAATGTTTCTAAAAGCAGAATTTGTACTAATGAAGTTGTTTTTGTTTTTTTTCAAGTTATGAATCAAGACATATGTAACCTGTATTTATAATGTTCAATCATTTTTAGAAAGAATTTTTAGCACTTTAGAGGAGTATCAAGATCTTCATGTTAAATATATATATATATATATATATATATATATATATATATATATATATATATATATATATATATATATATATATATATATATATATATATATATATACCACATATATATATATATATATACCACATATATATGATATACATGCCTTGTTTTAAATAAAAAATGTTTAACACAATAGCCTAATTTGATATCATAAAATTCACTTTATGTTTTAAAGACATAAACTTTTTTATATTACTGAAATAATATTGAATATAAATTACTGAAACAAATTAAAATGCTGAAACAATTACCAAAAAACAAGTTAAATATTATTTAACTTCTTTTTGATTATTACTATAAGGGAATGTTTATTTTCTTTTTTTTATATGAAAAAATATTTAATATAACATTTTAAAAATGTTTTATATTAACAAGTTTCTTTCTTTCCTCAACATTTGCATAAATAAATTAAAAAAAAATACTTTCGAATTTTTAAATAATTTATTCTTAAATTTCTAATTGCAGCTTTGCAACTACAAATGATTTTTTATTTGAAAAAAATTAGAGAGTAACAAATAAAAAAATTACATTAATTTATTTACTTTATTTATTAAAAGTTTATTATTTTATCAACGATTTTGTTGTAAAAGCAAAGATTATTTTTTCAAAAACCATTTTATTAAAATTATATTGCTGTATATACCATTTATTAAAAAAATAATTGTGTTTTATATTGTGCAACTTTTTAATGTAGCCGTTTATTTCAAATTTAATTTTGAGTAAAAAAAAAAAATGTTTAGGAAGGAAAACCAGAAAAACAATTGGGATAAAAATGAGCAAATTTTTAAGAATAAATAAAATTTAAATATTGAATAATATTTAGTAATATTTTTAAATAAACTTGACAGTTAAGTTAAACCCAAGCATTAACTTTAATTTTAATATTTTAATAGACTATATATATTTTTAAAAATATATATTTTTAAATCAAAATTAGATATGTTTTTTAAATCCAAATAAAATTATATATTTTTGTTATTAGAATAAAATTATATAATTTTATTAAATTAGTTTTAAATTAAATCATAAATTTTATATCAGAATTAAATTATATTATTATGATCTTTGCTTCAAGCTTAAAGTATTTGTGTTTTTTTAAGCAAAAAAATCATTACGATAAAATAAAAACAAAATAAAATGTTTAATCTTGAGTTTTTTTCCTTAGTAAATAGCGCTTAGATCTGATTGTCATTCAAAACATAGTCTAACATAATTGTCATTCAAACTTTTGTAACAAATATTTTTACATAAACGTCATTCAAATATTAATGCGATATTTTTTTAAATTAACTACTTCTTTTATCTTACTGTTTATAGAATAATTTAAAAGTTAAAAAATGATGAAAAGTTGCTTAACCAAAATTGCTTACTGCTTAGGTAAAATTGCTTAAATCATATGTAAATCTAGATACATTTATTAAATACAAACAAACTTAAAACATTGAGAAACTTACGAATGAAGATTGGAATTTTCACTAGTTCCCATTTCCCCTAGTTCAGCTGCAATTTTTATTATTGCATCTGCCATTTTTTTATGAGTACTAGTCATTTTGTCACATTTTGCAGCAGCGTCTTTAATTCTAATTAAAAAAACTTAAATATAATAAATAACTTAACAAAACAATAACAAAATAGTAAATTACAAATTAAAGATATCAAATCAGAGTTTGAGCTTACAAAAATAATTGTTACAACAAAAGAACAGCTGTAAAATACCTGTTAAAAAAGTCAACTTGAAATTTTTTTTCATTTTCAAAAAACTCATCTATGTCCTGAAAATAAAAATCAAATATTAGTTAGCACAGAGAAACTAGATGAAATAGAGGGAATGGATAAACTAGCAAACAAACAAACATAAATTATGTTAATTTGATGTTGAATTTTTGATGAAAGTTTACTTGAAAAAAAAACATTAAAAATAATTACCTAAAAGTACATACAAAATTCATACACCTACAAGTCATTATTAGATAATAATAGAAAAAATATTTGAAAATATCTTGCCATTCATGTGTATTTAGATTGACACTGTCCAAATATATTTTGAAAACTTGAAGTTTAAAGATGCCAATATAAATCTAAAGTGTTTTTTTTTTATAAGAAGAAAAAATGAAGCTATTTTAAGGCTGATTTTTGACAGTGAATATGCATTAATATATATACTAATGTATATTTATAAAGATTTATAATTATATGTTTATAAACTAAATTTTTAAATGACTTCAAAATTTATAATTTATAAACATAATGTAAAATAATTTTATAATAGTAAGCCTTCACATGAATAAAAAGGCGTACGTTATATTGCTTGCTATTTTATGCAAAAAATCAACGATATGCAACCTGAACCACACAAGCTCGTTTAAAAATGTGTGCGCTTTTTATACATTTGTTCAATTTTTTTAACATTTTTGTTTTGATCTCCCTCATTTTTCTTTGTATTGAGAAAAAAATATACAAATTGTTAAAACATTATTCTAAATAAACTTAAAAATTGTCTCGCCTTAAAAATAAAAAAAATAATTTCCTGAGATACTGACTGATAAAATTTTTTCATACTACAAAACAAAACACTTAAAAATGAAATTTTTTAATTTTTAAATTTTTCAAGTTTTTTTTATTCTCTTTAATTGAGATTTGTTTTTATTTTTTTAGTTTTTTCCCCTGTTGTTTACCTTAGTTTTTACTGTAAATTTTTGAAAGACTTAAAATGTCAAAACAAACAAAAAGCCGTAATCAAGCTGTCAAAACAAAATATTTTATGCATGGACAGGCAAGACTGTGTAACTGCCATGTGCTTTCTGGGAAGACTTGTAATATCATATTTTTTTGCAATTATTTCAGATAATTGAGTATGAAGTTAAAAATGAATACAATTCAATTGATAAAATACTAATGTAATTAATAAAAAAAATTATTTTCTGTTAGTTGAATTAGCAATTAATGAAAAGTAATTTTTATTAATTGCTTCTAAATTAAATACATAAAACATACATTAAACACATACATATAATTAAAATAACAATATATAATATAACACAATATATTATTTAAGTGTTTCAAAAAAAATATTTATCTTGTTAAAACGTTTTTAAACAACATAAAATTTAGATTTTATAAGAAAACTATCATTATTTACAAAAGTTAAAAAAAAGACTTATTGAAAAAAAACAGTACATGCAAACATAGTTTGCAGATTAATCATCAGAATAACTATGCAAATTAATTATTATTAAAAAACATGAATTATTCTTTATCTTTAAAATAAAAAACAACCTTATTACTATTGAAATATACCTTTTGTCCAGATAATAGTAGTTTTTCATCAACTCCTTTTGCAATACCTTTTGCAATACCTTTTAAGAAATCTTTTGTGTTTCTTCCTCGAACACTTAGCTGTAAAATAAAAAATAAAAATAATTTCCAAATAAAAGAAAGCTTAATGAAAATGAAAATTGAAAATTAAAAAAAAGCTTATGTACTGATTAGAATTACTAATGATTTAATAAAAATAATGCAATTTTACATATAAATAAGGAAAATAGTAATAAAGTTACATTTTTTTTTTAATTTTGAATTTTCCTCTTATGACTAATATTGAAACTATAGACACTCACCCAGCAAAATGCTCTAACAGAATAGTTTCTTCCATATTAGGATTTTTTTTCTTAAAATATATTTTTTATTTGTGACATAAGACAAGAATCTAAAAATGCTTCCTTTCAGATGTAAAATAAGAAAATTCTCCAAAAAAAAACCCCATAAGTTGTTTGCAGCCCTAAATTAAAAAAATATTGCTGCTTTGGTGGTCAGTTCTGTTCCAAATAACAAAGAAAATTATATCATAGGTTTTGCATGTTTCTTCTACACCAAATCACTACTTGGATACTGACGCCCTCAATGATTTACAAAAAGTTTTTATATAGAAATTTTGCAATTTAGATTTACATAAACTTAGCTTGATTAGAACATTTTGAGAAGCAAAAAGAACTTCTCGTAAAAGAACTCAATCCTTTTAAGTCATAAAAATATGTTTTTTAACTCTTCAAAGATGAGCCTCCTTAAAATATGTTTTTTTTAACTCTTCAAAGATGAGCCTCTTTATAATATGTTTCTTTAACCCTTCAAAGGTGAGTCTCCTTAAAATATATTTTTTTAAACCCTTTAAAGATGAGCCTCCTTAAAATGTTTTTTTTAACCCTTCAAAGACGAGCCTCCTTAAAATATGTTTTTTTAACCCTTTAAAAGTGAGCCTCCTTAAATAACTTTGTTTTAGGATGAGGCTTATATTATAAAGATAAAATATTACAAAACGATCTAGTTTTTAGAAATAATAAAGAACTTAAATAAATATTAAATGCTTCCTAAACGATAATATCAAATATATAGGCATACTTTGTATATTCAAACAGCAGAATGTTATAATTTTTAATGCAAAAAAAAAAAAAAAAAAATGTAAAGAAAAAAAAATCACTTTAACAATAATTTAATTCTAATCATGTTTTTGTGCTAAAATTTAAGTCTAATCATATTTTTTTTGCTACTATTAGCAGACATCAGCGTATCCCCTGCAGCTTTTGTAATCATTTGTACACATATCTCAACTGATTGGGCATAAGAACTTTGTTAGAAAACAACCATGGAGGTATTAATAAAATCTTTAATAGTAGAAGATGTAAAATTTCATGTCAAAGGTTATTGCTCCAGTCAATGAGGCTAAAAAGATTTTCAGCATCAATGTTAATATCAGGTTTTCAGAGTTGATTGTTTTGTTAGGTGGCAGAAGATTAAAATACACATTCCCTTTATAATCCAACAACATCTTTATTTGACGAGCGTCAGCTTTTAATGATAATTGAAATAAAATACCAGCTTTAGACTATGATCTTTTAATTTGAATATTAGAGAAGACAATCTTTTCTTAATTGCAAGTTTCATCATTCTCTTTCAAAATGGATCAATTTGATTCTGTTTTAAAAGCATATTGAATGTTGCTGCATTGCATTAAATGAATTTTTTCAAGTTTGTGTCAAGTCCAAACATTTTTTAAAACTAATTCTAAACTTTCTCAAATGATCATCAACAGTTGTTTTGGATGAACTTAGCTTTTCAGTAATTTCACGAACCATTATATATCAATTAACATCAAACAAAGCTTTTACTGTTCATCGATCTCAATTAGTTTACCATGTTTCATTTTTCAGTTAAAGATGCATCATATCTTGAAGTGAAAAGTTTCCAGAAAGAAACTTTGCAAACCCATTTTAACGAGTGCGTACTGTTAATGAATGACTACCATACACAGCACAAATTTTTCGGTATCCATTTTGATCTGAGATGATGTCAAAAAAGTATAATACAGCTTAAATTTTTCTATAAAGTAAATATTAGTCTATACTATTAAATGATTAAGTTTTATATTTTGAGTACTCAGACACGTTTAAAATCTTACTAAAACATTTGTTAAAAAAAAACCTAAACAACTTTCTTGAAAACCTTCATAATATGACAATATTATAGCGCTTTTTTTATTTTTTTTGATATAGATTATCAAAAAAAAAAAAGTTCTTCAAAATTTCCATTCCTTAATCTCAGATATCCTAAACCATGAAATATTTTCAAGGAATAGGGCTAAATTTTTTTTTTATAGACTTTTGTATCTGTTTTTATGCAATATGAGGTGCTTTTATGCAAAACATAAGTAAAATTTATTTGAAATAAGTTTCATTTACTTGAAATTAAGTTATATAATTTGAGTAATTGAAATAAGGCTATATAACTTGAATGATTGTCATCATGTTTATGATTTTAAACTTGGTAAGAAACATCCTTAATGATAATTATATTCAGATGAAAATAATATGAACATAGCACAAACATGTTAAACAACAAAGAAAATTAAAAAAAAAATTAATAAAAACTGACATCTTCTTTGTATTCAAGAAACACTCTGTAGTTATGATCATTGCGTAACACAGGATGTGCAGCCAGTCTTGTAAGAAAGACTTCATGCATGGCAACTGTTTTTTTAAATGTAGCAAGGTACTCACTAAAGTAAACCACAGCAAAATGTTTATTAAAAGGATACTTAAAAAAATAAAAATTAATTTCAAAAGAATGTCCAAGTGCTGAGACAAGTTGTGTTCATATCTTAAACCTTAGAAAATAAGTTTATTGTTATCTAAACTTACTAAAACGAATTCTTTATTGAGATATTAAAAAGATCCTTAAGTGCCATGACAAGTTGTGTTCATATTAAAGAGAATGTTTTAAAAAAATGTTTAGACTGAACTTTTGTTTTATTAAAATAAAATAATAAACGAAAAACTAACTTTGTAGTTTTAGTTGAAGCTTGCATTCTCCATTTTAGTCAGGATTTCAAGTCTTAATATATATACATGTTTTATACATAAAAAATATACATGTTTTTTTTAAATGCAATCTACAGACTTTGTAATTTATTCTCTTTAATATGAACATAACTTGCGGTACTTGGGAATCCCTTTAAGAAAAAACTTTTTAACTTTTTATATTTAATGCCATATTGTTTTTTGCTATGGAAAGTTCTGGCTTGTTAATTTTTTAATTTCAATAGGAATTTGGTCTGATTAAAGCATCTTTGACATCAATAAAAATAAGTAGTTAAATTTTAAAAAGTTAAATTTTATTTTAATGTTTGGGTTTTCCCTTTTTTAATATGTGATATATATATAAAAAAAATTTTTTTAAAAAGAACTTCAATGCTAACCTGCTACTTTGCTTTTATTGATAGAACCTTTTCAAACTATTATTTTAATATACATTTATGTTAATATATATACTTTTTAAATGAAATGCAGCAAAAAAAATGCAATTATAATCGCAAATTTCGAATAGGAAAACTCAAGCTTATGTGTAAATTAAATTGTTTAAAAAAACCTCTATGGTAAAGTTTTGGTACTAAATAATACTTAACTTTTTTTCTTAGGCTTATTTAAGTAAAGTTAACAACTTGACTCAAAACTTAGGGATCCCTTTAAAAAATTTCAAAAAAATTTAAAACTTTTAATTTAACTATAATAATTAAAAAAATTAATTTAATAACTAAACTAGTTTTTAGTTTATTAACTGAGTATTAACAAAACACTTAATGTGTTTTGTTGAACAATACACTGAATGTATTTTGTTGAACAATATACTGAATGTATTTTGTTGAACAATACACTGAATGTATTTTGTTGAACAACTCACTGAATGTATTTTGTTGAACAATTCACTGAATGTTTTTTGTTGAACAATCAATTAATAAATGTACTCAATAAAATTGATGTACTAGTAAACAATATACAGGCCCTATTTAGTAAACAACCAGGGTTAATATTTGACCAGAGCAATGGCTGGGTTTGATAAAACCTGGCCCCCGGGGTTGATATAGCTGGGGCCGGGTTTGTGACCGGGGCTGCATAAACATTTATACATCCTAATGGATAATTTTTTTTATTCAAAATTCATGTTATATTTTGTATATATATATATATATATATATATATGCATATGTAAACATCACTATGATCAACATGATCATCATAATCATCATTATAATCATCATCATCATCATCATCATCTTCTCTATTGGCAAATATTACACCATATAAATACTAACATTTATAAAAATATGAAAGGATATTGTACGCCAATATTTAAATAGCAAACATATGTTTATATCTATAGTATGTAAGTATAAAGCGCATCTCAGCTTTATCATCTCATTAACTTAAGTAAGTCTAACATTTAATTTTATTAATAATATAATATTTAATAAAATTCAATTTTTAAAAAGTGCTAAATAAGTGGTTTCAATTTTTCAAAACTCTAGAAAAACCTTTGACCTCTTCAACTATCCTATGATTAGTCTTCTCGCTGTTATTAGTTCTTTATATAAAGGTTTTGAGATTATTAAATTATTTCTTACTAACTGCAGTAATAAAGTTATTCTTGAAGGCCTACACTCTTCATTTCAAGTAACTTTAAGGGCACCACAAGGTTCTATCAAGGTTCTGTATTGTTTCTTATCTACAATATCATTCTTCATGAAAATTTTACATCTTAAGTGGCTCTATTTGTTTACAACTCATCTTTTATACTCTTGTCTTGACAAAAAAAACTTTTGATTGCTTAGAACAAGCAGCTGATTTAAAATCTAATATCTTTTCTGTAACAGCTTCAGGCTTGCAGTGGCTTATGGATTTAAATTCTGAACTTAAGATCGACAATTTTTGTTAGACAACAAAACTCATTTATTTACTGCAAAAAAATATTGCAATAATGTTAGCATTCCTATATTGACGAATAACAACCCTCTTACTCTCAGACAAAGTTTAAAAGCACATTGTAAATGTAATTAGACCTGTTTTATCTGGCAAGCTTGAGCCATTCTCTGCTTTATCTGGCAAGCTTGAGCCATTCAAATTGTTTTAAGGTTGCATTTCTTTCTTTTTTTCTACAAATACTATCATGGTCAATGCTCTTACGAATACTATTATGGTCAAAATCCAAAAAGGTCGATCTCAAACAAGCTAACTATTCTAATACAATAAAGCAAAAATTCTTGCTTGGCTTCTTATCCAACAAGTTTCATCCTTTTACTGTATCTGTCCCTTTATGCTATAAAAACTTTTATTAAACCACTTTTTTTCCTTGCACATCAAAAAAAGCTTGTAACTCTTACCCATCTTCATGTTTTCCTTTTTTATATAACCTACAACTTTTTAAGTCTTCAGTTAACCATTTTCTAGCATTTTTAGTTATTCTCTATTTTAAAGTAACATAACTTAATAGTCAAGCCTTCCCAGGAAAGGCGTGCGGTTTTTCGTCTTGTGTGACCACACACAATTATATTATTTTAGACAACTTGAACATGGCCGTTTGCAAGTTTTATAATAATGTTGAAAAAGTTTGAAAAACAAAAAAAACAAAACTAAAAAAATAAAGAGATTGAAATAGAAAAAATAAAAACAAATTAATAATATAAATAATTTGTGTACTGTTTTTATTTTTGTTTCTTCAGAGTGGTTGTTACATTCAGCAACAAAATTAGATAAGGCAAAGCAAAAAAAAAAAAACAGTTTGAAGTCTACAATAAAAAGAATGATTTTCCTTTTCTTAAATTTTTTTTTAAGGGGATAGGAAAAATACAAATTGCAATGTGTTTGTAAAATTTATTTGTATAATTTTAATGTAACAACAAGGGTTGAATTAAGCGAATGCGAAACGCAAAATCTGGAGAAATATCAAGTATTCAAAATTTTAGTTTATACAAAAGCGTGTTCCTTGTTTTCAAGGGAAGAATCAACTTAAATTTGTTAGCGAAAAAATAAAAAATAAAAAAAACTTACGATTACAAAAGTAATAACACTCTAATCACTAACTGCATTACAAAAGTAATAACACTATAATAGTGTTATTACTTTTATAACGCACTTATAACTTTTAAAATTCATTCTTTGTTCAAGCAACATTAGTATTCCCAAATTTTAATTGAAGTAGAAAAATATCTAGAAGAATAAAATGAATGTTCAAATAATATTAAAACTTAAATAACTTATAAAAACGTGACAAACAACTTTATAAAAAAATATCGTATTAAAAGTTTAGCATTATGAAAAACGTTACTAATGGAACGTAAAATCGCGCGTTAATTTTAAAATTAACCAATAAAAAATTTTTATTAGTTGATTTTAAAATTAACGCGCATTTTTACGTAACGTTTTTCATAATGCTTTACTTTTTATAAAGTACTTTTTTATAACATTGTTTTTAAGTGATCTGTGAAAGTTCCTGAAACTTTTAATAATATTTAAATATCCACTTTATTTTTTCTAGATGCTTTTCTACTTTAATAAATGTTTGGAATTAATAATGTTGTTTGAACAAAGAATGAACTTTAAAAGTAATAAGTGTTTTATAAATGTAATAACACTATTATAGTTTTATTACATAGTCGTAAGTTTATTGTTTTTTGTAACTTTTTTTGCTAGCATATTTATAATAATTTGCTCCTTATAAACAAAGTACACAGCTTTGCATGAACTAAAATTTTAAAGACCTAATATTTTACCAGAGTTTGCAATCACGATCGTATAATTTATTTCTTGATATAAACTTGTTACATTATGATTATACAAATATATTTTTATATTTTTTAAACAGATGACGATACATATTTTCTTTTTCCTCGTCAAAAGAAAAAAACACATAAAATATGGGAAAAATTCATCCTTTTTAACAACAAAAACCTTTTTTTTTTCACAGCAAACGGCCGTGATCACGTTATCTAACTTGAAAAACGTTTTCGTGGTCATACGAGACAAAAAACCGCATGCCTATCCTGGGAAGGCTTGATAGTGGTTGCTTGCAATCTTGTTGGAAGTAAATTAGAGTATGAAAATATATAAATATATGCCAGTATTTACTAAATACTAAAGTAAGCATAAAATTATTATATATAAAGCATTATAAATTTTTTTTCTAGCCAGGCTATCAACCCCTGCTGAACCTTATGGTTTAGCGGGGCCAGGTTTGAAAAAAGTCTCATTTTTAGCTGGGAAGGCCCCGGTCACTTACTAGCGTAGTGTTATGCCATTCAAATTTTGCATATGATTTCACATATGCGTTAAGCCATTTACGTTATGCCAAAACTTTTTTCAATTGAATTATTTAATTATTCTTTTAAAATAGTTTATGCTGAAAATATTAACCAGTCACATTTAACCATAAAGACCGTCAGGTTTGAAATCTCACCTCCTAAAATTTATTTTTTTAAGTAACCTAAGTTTGTACAAGTGTTTTTCAAGTGCAAACCAAATCTGAATTCGATCAGACAAGTTAGTAATTTAAGTTTAAAAAAAGTAAAAAGGACTAAAAATTTAGCAATTAAAATGATGTAACCCACCATTTTTGGCTTCTTTTTTAAAAATAATTTTCAACTGATAAGAAAAATAGTTGGAGAAAAACCCACAGTGGTAAAAATGGCAGATTTGAAGCAGTCTGCTTGTGCAGTTTAGAAAAAAATGAATATTCAAAATAAAATCAAAAAGTATATTTGGCCTGAGTATAATGAAGATGTCATTGTTTGCCCTGACATTTACATGTTCAAATTGTAGAAGAAACATATTTTTGCTGGAGAAGGGATCAAGTACTTATCTGTCAAACTGGATGAGTAAAGTATCTCAAGTACAGAGTTTATTAAATTTAAATGATTAATACATAAGTAAATAAAAAATAACTTTTTATAAAGTATATGTTTCTGAATTAAGTTGACAGGCCAAGAATTAGACGCAGTACTGAACTTAGTAATACGTGGTAAAACACTAGCTGTAGAATCTCCAAAGGAAAATATATGCAGTTGCTCCTTTTCTCTCCTTGCAAGAGGTTTACAAATAAATATTAAATTATTTGATAAGTAAATAAAAAGTTGTCAAATATTTATGTATACATACATATTCAATTATAAATATGTAAATTGTAAACAATATGTAGAATTATACATAACTAATTTTTTTTTAATTATAATTTATATAACTTTAATAAAAAAAAACTTATTTTTAATTTTAATAAATTTACATAACTTTTATATTTAATTTTATTCTTTAGGAGGTCATAGCAATTGTAGTTCTGGTCAGACTGTTTTAAACCTAATTAATTTGTCAGAAAACCTTAATTCCACATCATGTGAGCAAGTTGCTTCAGGCATAATTAAAAATAAGATAAAGAAGGAGGGCATAGAGAGAGGCAAATCCTTTAAAATACCTACAGGTATCTAAGTTTCTATTTTCATTATAAAATTGTTGATAAAAGATTTAAATGTTCATATAGTCTATATTATATATTATATATTATAAAACTTAAATGCATACAAAAATAGATATAAGGCATATAATTTAACAATTATTTTGATTGCTAACTTTTTTGAAATATTTGTGTTTTAACTTTAGTTATGGTAAAAAAATATATTCAATTTATTTAGACTTTATTTATAAGGTGGAAATGCATTAACTTTAACCATTGGAACTAAAGATAATAAATCTTCCAAAAAGTCTTTCAATCAGATATCATTCCAAACAGTTATGGAGTTAACTTCTATACTAGAATTAACAAAAAATCAAACAAAAAAAAAAATGATATCAAGTCTGCGTAAGAATCTAGAGTCGTCTACTGTTGTTGAGAACAATGTAGTTAGCATGATGACATCATTGCAACAAGAAATTGAGTCTAAATCTGATAATATGAATACGCTAATTTAATATTATTATTAGTCGAGTTACATCATTTTCTAGGCTTTTCTATTTTAAAGTAGTTTCTAGGCTTTTCTATACGCGTTTTTTTTTTTAATTTTATTAACTAACAACGCGTATTTCGGGTTGCTTACTGCTAGTATAAAATAAAACAAGATGATTTTATTTGGAATGATGAAACTGTAACAAGAGATAAAGTATTTATTCATAAAACTTCTGAATTTATTCTTAGCATTTTACTGGAAAGAGGTTTAGATCCTCTTTCCAGTATGGTAGGTGTATCCATTGATGGAGGTCAAAGATTTCTTAAAGTAATTGTAAATGTCTTTGACAAGACCAATAAAAATGAAATACACATCGACAGTGGAGTTAAGAAGTATTTTATACTTGCTAATTTTGAAGATCTTCTGAAGACCATGGAAATCTGCAGAAAATCTTGAGTAGATTAAATCTAGATGATGTTACGTATCACCTTGCATTTGATTTAAAATGTGCTACCAGCATTTTTGGTTTATCTTCTCATTCTGGTAAATATGCCTGCTTATGGTGTCAAGGTGAATATAGCCTAGAAAGTGGTATTCTAAGTACGTTTTCTTGATCATTGGTACAAGTTATTTGTTGAAAATGGGGCAAAATGATTGCAGATGAAAGATTTTAAAAATGTGATTAGTCCTCGTCTTGTTTATTTTGATAAAAATCCTGAAGTTGAAATTAATCACTTAGTTCCACCACCAGAATTACATCTACTTATGGGGATTGTGACACTACTTGGTAGACTACTTTTAGATCATTGGCCTCTGTTTACAAATTGGCTCAAAGAGCATTATATTTTACTTAGAGATTATCATGGGATAGGCTTTGATGGCAATAATACCACACAATTTTTAGAAAAAGTAGATATTTTAGAAAGAGATGTTTTAGCATCTCAAACTAATTTGATACCTATTGTTCATTGCCTCAGAAAGTTTTTAAAAGTTAAAGAGTACACATTTGGACAAGAATTAGGCAGTAACGTTTCTTCAGTTATTGAAGAGTTCAAATTATCATTTTTTGACCTACAGCAGTATACAAAAATACATTTAAATGCAGAGCTGAATGTTACTTGGAAAGTAAATATAGTGGTTTGTCATACTCTCCCATTTGTGAAATTTAATTCTTGTTTTCTTGGATCATATGCTGAACAGACTGGAGAGGCTGTTCACAGCACCTTTAAACCAAGTTGGTCTTGATATAAACGAAGGATTAGACATAAAGATTATGGTAAGCGATTAAAATCTGTCACTATAACTTTTGCATAGATAAGATGTAAATATTTCAATATATAAGTAGTTGTGTTAATATTTTTATTGCATTCATTGTTTTTTCCTTGTTATTTTTCCTTTGTATTATTACTATAAGGGACTCTGATGTATTTGAAGTTGAAATCATTTTAAGTTTAAAGTTTTAGATTATATTATAATACTTTAAAGGGGATAATAAAGGATATTGATTTTTAAAATAATAATAGAAGGGGTTAGCTTTCTAGGGGCTAACTTTATCGCTATAAGAAGGTAAATAGGGTTAAAAAATTAATTTTTTTTGGTACTTCTGATCTACTTTAGATTTATCCAATACACAAAAATAACATATTTAAGCAGCATTTATCTTTATATAAAAAAAAAATTAGAGGTGGGGAGAAGTTCAACCTAGCGGTCTTTATGGCACACAGCGCAGTTATAAAAATTGTTATAAAAAAGATTTTCACTACAATTGTGAAACTTTTGATTTTAGATTAAAAAAAGTTAATACTTGAATAAATTGTTTTGAATAAATTTGAATAAAAAACAAAAAGTTAGAAGTTAAATAAAATTATTTCTACTTTCTGTTTTTTAAAAATTATTTATTTGAATTTATTTCATTATATACAAATCAAATTAATTATTAAATATTAATAAATTTAAATTGATTTAATTAAGTTGAATATAAATTTTTTTTAAATTTATAACACTCTGTTTTAAATTTTTTTTTTTAACTTTTAAAATTTTCAAACAGCTTAGAAGAAAGAAAATTATTTTTATCTAATTACTTTTTTATGTTCGTTTTTCATTTAAATATTTTGTAAGTTATAGTTTTATTTTTTTATTAATTAATTATTAAATAAATTTTTAATTAAATAATTTATTTATTATTATTCATTATTTATAGTTTCAAGTCAATAATTTTTTTTTATCCTGTTACCAAAGTGCTAATATACAAAAATGCTTAACCCTTTCAGTCTAACATTTGTTACTACTTTTGTTAGTAAATGTGTTACTACATTTGTTACTAACATTTGTTAGTAAATGTGACCACCCTAAAAACGGCATTTGATCATTTGAGAAAGTAAAGATAAGTTGGATTATTAAAAAAAAAGTTTGGCAGCCTCTCATTTGTGAAATTATAAAGATTAGCTTTTGTTTTATAGCTTCACTTACAATCATTTTACTGTTTTTTGTCTGGGACCGAAAGGATTAATACACTTATAACTGTATATTAATGCTTTGCTGGATAAACCATAATCAAGCCGGTAGGAAAAATTATTTTAGATAATATTTTTAATAAACTAATGTTTTATTTATTTTTTAACAGTTTAGAAACTCATCCTTAAATAATCGACCTTTCATTTAAAAAAATAATAATTGACCTCTCATTAAAAAAAAAAAATAACTTGTGAGGAAGCAAACATAAGATGATAATGTTGTGTTATAAATGTTTTAAGTAATAAATAGTATAAGCTTAAATAAGTATAAATTTTTTAAAATAAAGAATTTTTTTTCTTTTTCAAACGACATATTTAAATTTGATTGATAATTATTTTTATAACAATATTGTTTACTTTAAAGATATTTTATAAATATTTTATAAAGATAGTTGAAATGATTTTTAACATGGTTTCAAATTAAATTTAATTACAAAGCCATACTTTAGAACACATAACAGGCATAATTTAAACTTTTAACAATGTAAATATGGATATTGAATAAAGTTACATTTGCTTTATTAAAAAGGCATATATTAAACTGCATATATTTTATATCTGTAAACAATACAAATATTAAATATTAAAGCTTTGTAAACAATTTAGTAAAAAATACAGGAAATAACTTTTTTTCTATTTGTTATAAATATTCAACTTACATAAAATATTCAAAACTTACGATTCAAGTTCTTGTTTCATTTTTTGAAATTCTTCCTTTGTCATTGTACCTTCACCTAGTATTTTTGAAGAGTGAATCAATATTATTCATTTTTCACATTTTAATTTTTTTTTCGTCATTATACTTGCATTGTAGTAGTTTATATTTGTAAGGGTTGTAGAGTAACGAATGAGTAACAGCAGCAAACATTCATGTTTAATTTTAATATTTAAGAAATAATATTTAATAATAACTTTTATACTAAAGCAAGCAGAAAAAAAAGGCAAAAACAGTTAAATTTATTAACAAGTTTGAACAAAAAGAAATAAACTAAGATTCCTTAATATTAACCTTCGCTTAACTTTTGTAATTTTTCACGACTTGCATCAAAGTCTGGCCTTGGTGGTGGAGGAGGAATCTAAAGAAATAAAATGAATGTAAATATAAACGTATTTTAGTGTTAAGGAAAAACCCATGTATATTAAGGATTGAATTAGGCGGTTGCTAATTGTGATATCTAGAAAAATATTTGGTCTTCAAAATTTTAGTTTATGCAAAATTTTGTACTTTGTTTTTATGAGGCGAATTAACTTTAATTTGTAAGCTAAAAAATTATTTAGTTTAAAAAAAAACAACCACAAAACAAAACACAAAAAAACTCAACTTTTACAAATACTTAATTTATAAACAATTAAACATTTCTAAACCAGAAGAAAAAGCATTGATTTTATAGTTATAAGCAGGGGTTTTTTCAACCATTGTTCATTTTTGCAGTAAAAACGAACAATGGTTGGTTGCCCTCATATAGCAGGTCTCAAAAATGGTCTGAGGGGCGGCGATGTCCGGCACTTATTTCGACCCCTGGTTATAAGTGTGTAATAAAAGTTAAGTTATAAGTGTGTAATAAAAGTAACAACACTATTATAGTATTATTACTTTTATAACACAGTTAGTGACTAAAGTGTTATTACTTTTCTAGTTAAAAGTTTATTGTTTTGTTTTTAATAACTTTTTAGCTAACAAACTTAACTTTGATCCATGAAAACAAAGTACATGGTTTTTTATAACTGAAATTTTGAAGACCAGATAATCTTCTAGACATCGCAATTCGCAATTGCTTAATTCAACTTTTTTATATTATAGTGAAAAAAATTTTTTTTTAATTGAGATAAGTTTTTTTGTCATTTTTGATACTGCACGATTAAAAACATAAAATTAGATAAAAATAAATGATATCAAAAATTGATTTCTGCTAAGTACCATTGTTAAACAAGTCTCTGAAATTTTCCATGACATGTTGTATCATACAAATTAAAAAAAATTAAGTCTTTAATTTAAATCTAGTCAACTGTTAAATTTAAATCTGGTTAACTGTAAAGTGTTGTAGTAGCAAAATGGAGTCTCAGCCCCCGAATTGATCAAAAGAGGAGTTTACCAGGGGTTATTAAACAATACTAAGAAAATTATATATATATACAAAACCTCTCTCTCTCTCTCTCTCTCTATATATATATATATATATATATATATATATATATATATATATATATATATATATATATATATATATATATATATATATATATATATATATATATATATATATATATATATATATATATATATATATATATATATATATATACATATATATATAAAACTAACTATGAATGTGTGTTTAGATAAGCACTCTGACGTCACACTGAAATAGCATGCTGCCAAGGGCAGCATGCTAGCCTTACTATATTAAGATATATGTAATTAAAATATATCTTAATAATTATTTAGTTTTCACTATATATATATATATATATATATATATATATATATATATATATATATATATATATATATATATATATCAGGGGTATACACTCTGACTTTTGGTTGGTCACCTGAAAAGCGACTGAAAGCAACCAGTTTATTAATTTTGGTCACCTGCAGACTTTTTAAGTTGCCCATCACTATTTTTATAAAAATTTTCGCATTCAGTGGATTATGCTATATAATATGCTGATATATACACCATTAGGTTTTTCACTTGAATTGAGAGCTTATTTAATCAAAAAAAAGTATGCCCTTTTTTTAAAACAACAAAGTACTGACAAATATATAAAAAAAAAAACTTACAAATACTTTAAAACCCTTTTCTTTTAATGTGTTGTAATTATTAACATCTTATTTGTTACAGGAGCTTAAAAACTATTGATATTTTGAAAGTATTTTAAATTAGCGCATTGCAATTAAGTTTAATTCTAAACTGCACTCAAAATTATTTAAACTAATTTAACTAAAATTATTAATTGATAATCTAAATTCAGTATTTGAAAAAAATTAAATTTCCTTATAATTTATTTCTCAAAACAATCTTATACTTAATATAATCTTTTGTTTGATTATAACGATATATTTACTTATTTTAACTTTTATATATTTAATGTTATATTTTTAATGAAGATTATAAACAGTTTTTATTTTACAAAATGAGTTAGTTAGCAGACAATTAGAAAAAAACTTTAATAAAAATTGTGAAAGTATTTTACATTCATTTGAAACTAAATTTTACATTCAACGTTTTACTATTTTACATTCCTACAAAACCAAACTTAAATTTTTAAAATCATATTTAATTTAAAGTCTATTAAAATTAACTTTTTTTTTAAAAAAAAATTGTTTCTTTAAAAAATTCTTAGTTACGGTTGAATGCTTTGTTAAACAACCTATTATTTTCTAAATAAACGTAACATAAATGATGTTAAATAATAATTTCAAATTTCCATAAAAATAAGTTTTCGCTTAACTGAACACTATTAATGTTTATATAATACAAAAAAGTTTTTGCTTAACAGAACGCTTTTAACATTTACAAATCAATTACATAACACTTCTTAACAATGCCTTTCAAATTTTTTTTGGCAAATTTAGTTTATTTATTACTTTATCTTTAAATTCTTAAATAAAATTTGTAACAAAATAAAAAAAAAATAGTATTTTTGTTTTAACGATAGAACTTTTTAGTTTTTATTCAGGAAGTTTTTTATTAAATACGTTTAAACGCTAATACAATTTTCTTATGTTCTAATTAATAATACAAAATGCGGAAAACAAACTTTGACAAAGTGACTTTAAAAATATAATTTTATTATTATTTTAGGTTACTTTTCTTTTTATAGAATTCTTTGGCTGAAAAAAACAAAAAACTAGAAGTGACAATAAAAATCAAGTCATCCTTTAGGGCAATTTAATTGCATCAAAGGAATATTTTTAGCCACCTTCACAAAATTCAGTTGTCTGGTACCGTGGGGCGACCATCTTTACACCTCTCTCTCTCTCTCTCTCTCTCTCTCTCTCACTCTCTCTCTCTCTCTCTCTATATATATATATATATATATATATATATATATATATATATATATATATATATATATATATATATATATATATATATATATATAAAATAAAACAAATATGATAAAATATAAATATACACAAAAAATTTTAAAATACAAAATTAAGTACAAAATATCTGAAATTAAAAAAAAAAAAAAAAATTTAAAAGTAAAGAGATTATATAAGTATAATAAATATATAAAAGATTTTATCGAGCTTCAACCTGTTTACAAACTGTTTCACAAACATTAAAAATTACTGATGGCAAAGGCCATCAGTAATTTTTAATGATGTACTGATGGCAAAGGCCGATTGTGGCTAATAATAGGTTTTAATGTATTTATATAAGGGTATTATAGAAATATTAAGGATGTAAAATAATCAATAACAATTACTAAAACTTACAACAATGCCAGCATAGTCTTCATTTTCTACAAATCTATCATGCAACCATATAAATTCTTCATGTTCTCGAATGACAGAAAAATCAGTCCCTTGAAATTCTGGTAGAACAGTCTAGACATAAACAGCTTAAAATAAACATTTGAGTTATTTTAAAGTTATAGTTATAGTTATGAGTAAGTGACCGGATACCAGGCCCCAGCCCCATCTCAGACTAAAAATAAGACTTTTTGCAAACCCGGCCCTGGCCCCAGCAAAATTATATGATTTAGCAGGGGTTGAAAGCCACGGCTAGGAAAAAATATATGATTTATGACTTTATATATTATAATTTTATGCTAACATATACTATTAATTAAATACTGGCATATATTTATATATTTTCTCTAACTTATTTCCAACAAGATTGTTGGAAGTAAATTAGAGGAAGAACCACTGTTTAGTTATGAGTTATTTTAAAATAGAGAGTAAATTAAAATACTAGGAAACGCATAACTGAAGACTTAAAAAGTTATATGTTGTATAAAAAAAGGAAAACATGAAGATGGGTAAGAGTTATAAGGTTTTTTTGATGTGCAAGGAAAAAAACTGGATTAATAAAGTTTTTATAGCATAAAGGGACAGATACAGTAAAAGGATGAAACTTGTTGGATAAGAAGCCAAGCAAGAATTTTTGCTTTATTGTATTAGAATAGCTAGCTTGTTCGAGCATTGACCATGATAGTATTTGTAGAAAAAAGAAAGAAATGCAACCTGATAACAATCGGAGAATGGCTCAAGCTTGCCAGATAAAGCAGGTCTAATTACATTTACAATGTGCTTTTAAACTTTGTCTGAGAGTAAGAGGGTTGTTATTCATCAATATAGGAATGCCAACATTATTGCAATATTTTTTTGCAGTAAATAAATGAGTTTTGTTGTCTAACAAAAATTGTCGATCTTGAGTTCAGAATTTAAATCCATAAGCCACTGCAAGCCTGAAGCTGTTACAGAAAAGATATTAGATTTTAAATCAGCTGCTTGTTCTAAGCAATCAAAAGTTTTTTTTTGTCAAGACAAGAGTATAAAGTTGAGTTGTAAACAAATAGAGCCATTTAAGATGTAAAATTTTCATGAAGAATGATATTGTAGATAAGAAACAATACAGAAGCAAAGATAGAACCTCGTGGTACCCTTAAAGCTACTTGAAATGAAGAGTGTAGGCCTTCAAGAATAACTTTAATACTGCAGTTAGAAAGAAATAATTTGATAGTTTCATTAATCTTATATAAAGAAACTAATAACAGAGTAAGACTAATCATAGGATAGTTGGAGAAGTCAAAGCGTTTTCTAACGTTTTGAAAAACTGGAACCACTTTTTTAGCGCTTTTTAAAAGTTTAGCAAAAATTGAAGAGAGTTCTGGATAACACTGTTTTAAGACTATGATGGAAATCTTGTATGGAGCTTAACCTGTAGGAGTGTTTAATTGAGAATCAACTTTAGCCTTGGAAACCAGAGTGATTTAGATGTTTAGGAAAGGTATGGCCATTTGATTCAAGAGTCAAATTAGAGTAAGATTTCTTCGCAAATAACACTGCTTTATTTTGACGAGAAGTAAAAAGATCAGACCCATGAATTAGAGATTAAATGTTTTTACTTTAGTTAATGATACTGCTGAAGACTAACTAAAAGAATCTAACATCTGAGATAAGATACAAGATTTAGAAACTGAGAATAACAGAACTTAACATCAGACAAAACTTTTTTGCATTGGTTTCTTGCAATAATAAAAGGACATTTATTCTCAAGACAAATGTTCTTGTGAAAAAAGATCAAAAAAAAAAAAGATTAATGTTTAATAAAGCAACTGCTCAAGATGGTGAAAAATGTAGAGTAGAATGAGGCTTGACTTGAAATTAAAGAGAAGGAATAAAAGCTTCCAAGATGCACTTTATGCATACATATTATGGATATAAACATATATGTTTGCTATTTATTTAGTTGCTGGCATACATTATCTTTTCATATTTATATAAACGTGAGTATTTATATGGTGTAGTATTTGCTGAAAATCAAATATCGATAAAGAAATAGATACCTATGGTTATTGTTAATTGTTAAAGTTTTTAAAAGCTTAGAAAGCAAGTTGTAAAATAAGCAGTATTTCACAGGAAGACGTGCGATTGCGTGTCTTTATATGACCAGGCAAATTACATTTTGCTATGATGATTTGACCGCGGCTATTTCAAAAAACATTTTAAAAATGCGCTAACTAAAAAATATTAATAATTTAGAAAGCCGTTACAATTAAATAAGTTTGATCTTAAATGCTTTTATATTATCGAAACGCTTTTCAATAAAATCCATTAAAACACTTAGAATCTTATTCATAAGCTAAAAACTTTAGTGAAGATAACATCGATATATTTTGGATAAAATTTTCTTTTATCAAACACCTCTTAAACACCCAATTTTGTTTTTGGAAGTTAATATTAATATAAAGTGGCACCATAAAAGTGATCTGTAAAATTGAAAATCAAAACTTTTAAAAGTATAAAGTAGTACATTGTACAAGCAAGAAGTTCTTTCAATGGCATGCTGGCCCCAGAGGCTATGAACGGGTCATAAGCTTTTTATCTTAGAAGAGCATTTTTTAAATAAAAAAATTATTTTACTATATTCTTTAAATGATAAACAAATAATTTTTTATTCACTTTATTTACACTTTCATAAATTAAGTTATCTGATTTATAGTGTTAAACTTTGAGCGCTACTATATTAGTATTTTGCATAATAAAATGCAAACATCTAACATCAACCTAAAATATATTTGCAAAAAATGTATATTACTACGTTACATAAATCACTTCAAACGATTGTAACAAATTAAAAAAACCTTCAGGGTTAAAGGGTTCAGGGGTTAAATTAGCCAATCATGATGGTTAGATGAAAATTTTAGATCCTGAAAGTATTTAGCTCAAAGAAATCATTTTTAAGTGTTAAAAAAATATTGTTCATAAAATAAAATTAAACATTTCATCATTAAAACTATATAGTTTTAAATTTAATTATTGCTTGTTTTGTCAACAAAAAATTTTAATATAATTGCAACTATGGAATTAAAAATGATGTTTTAAATTGAATTCTCAAATTTCCTATCTGACCTTTTTATGTCGTGCAAATTTTTTCAAAATAATAAAATATGATTAAAAAAAAAAACTTTTATAAAATGTTTTACTAATAAATCTGTTTGGAAAAAAAAAGTATTGTTATAAATTTTTACAATTTAATTTAAAAAAAAAAAAAAACTTTTATAAAATGTTTTACTTATAAATCTGTTTGGAAAAAAAAAGTATTATTATTAACTTTTACAGCTATTAGTTTTAAAAGCTACAGGGCTCGAATTAATGCAAAAAAATCTAATTGCGAAAAAGAAAAAAAAAATTTGACATCCCCCTTCCATTTTATTCTAGGAGCCGCTTTGTGGTAATGGGGGGGGGGGGGCATTATAATTTAAAGTTTAAGTTGCAGTTATTGTGTAATGAGCAAGTAACGTATTTATTACTATCAAGATATTACTTTAATAATTGCTTTTACTTAATATGATACTTAAAAAAGTAAAAATTAAAAACTAAGAGTAAAAATGCAAATACTACAATATTTTAACCACTTTAATTAGTCATTAAAAACTATTCATTACATTCCTGCTGACGATAAAAGAGGTGTTATTTTTAAAGAGTATTTAATTATTGTAAAAGCTAAAAAACAACAATAAAACAAACTGCAAAGTTGTTTTAAAGGGATCCTTAACTGCCGAGACAAGTTGTGTTCATATTAAAGAAAATGTTTAAAAAAAATATTTGGGCTGAATTTTTTTGATTGAAACTAAATAATGAATGCATACCAACAAAATTAAAATTAGCGTTTTAGTCGAAGCTCGCCTTCTCCATTTTTTTTTGGTTCTTGGGGTCTGTATAATGTTAGCCGCAATCTGCAGACTTGATAATTTATTCAATGCGTGTTAATTCATAACAGTTTCGGTATATGACGTTATCCTAATATCTTTTTAGATAGCACTTTTTGTTGTTGTTTTTTTAAAGATATAAGTATTTTTTCTACTACAATCAGAAAATTAAATATTTGTATAATTTTTTACTAAATTACAAAAAATATTTTGATTTACTAAAAAATTATACAAATATATATATATATATATATATATATATATATATATATATATATATATATATATATATATATATATATATACATATATATATATATACATATATATATATATATATATATATATATATATATATATATATATATATATATATATATATATATATATATATATATATATATATATATATATATTTATATTTATAATTTTGTTTACTTGTTTTATTATTGTTTTATGTTTATTATTTATTTATGTTGTAGAAGCCAGCCAAAATCATGACACAATTATACGTTTTACAATTATTAGAGTTCGCAGGCAGACAAAAAACAAAGGCAATATGATGCGGTTTTTGGTTTTATATTTAGATTATATGGTTCAATAGAGTTGTTCGTTTTATGTTTAATTTACATTTAGTTATGGTTTAACTCTTCCACTACCGCAAACCACTGGTAGCGGCTTTCGAGTATGCTTTACAATTTAGTACATAAATTTATATTCTAGACTCATAGAATTTGTTTGTTCTGAAGGTTTAATTAATTCTCCATATAATCAAGAAAAAATAAGAGCTATAATTGTGTAATTATAAAAAAAATATCACAAAGTTAAAAAATCTTGAATAATCCTTCATAAAAAAAACTTTAAATTTAGTTATAAAATAAAACAGCGTTAACACTGTAAAATTAACTTGTAGAAGTGTTAAGTATTTAGTTAAGTAATTACCAAAGTATTTTGAAGAAAAAATATTATTTTTATTCATTAAATGAGGTTTGTTTTGGACTTAATGTTTTAGTTATTACTTACAAAAACAATAGTTTTAAGCATTTTGCATTTCTTTTTGTTTAATGAAGCATGTTAAAAACTTTATTTTTATCGAATTTTAATTAATTGTCAATGTTATGCTACTCAAACGTTATTCAAAAATAATATGTGCGGTTGCTACAAAAAGATTTTTGTTAAAAGATTTTTGTTCGGCTGGTAGCGAACAATTTAATGTGATTCTTTGTTTTTATATTTATATTATTACTATTTCTTGTATATTTTAGTACAAATATTTGTTTTAACTTTAAATTAGTTTGATTTGAACGGTTATTAGTAAAATAAGTCATTTAATATTTATTTTCTACTTAGTTCAGTTTATATGTTTTATTCAATTCACTCGTTTTTTTTTCAGTTTACACTTTAAATTAATTTATACGCTTCAATAAAATTATTCTTTTAGTACATAGTTTATATTTAGTTTAAACCAGTACATTTTACTGTAAATATTGGTTGTATATTAAATTTTTGTTTTTATAAATTTAATTTTTAATTGTATTAAACAGCTTTTTTTGGATTTAGTAAAAAGTTATACAATTAACATGATTTGGTTATTTTGAAAAAAAAATAAAACAACATTTTGAAAGAAAAAATTTATACGATGACATCATATACCGAAACTGTTATGAATTAACACGTATGGAATAAATTATCAAGTCTGCAAATTGCAGCTAACATTATACAAACTCCGAGAACCAAAAAAAATTGGAGACGGCGAGCTTCGACTAAAACGTGAATTTTAAATTTAATGGTGTGCATTCATTATAAAGTTTTAATAAAAAAAACTTAGCTTAAATGTTTTTTAAAACATTTTCTTTAATATGTCTTGGCAGTTGGGGATCCCTTTAACAATTTAAAAAGTTTTTGTTAATGTAAAACAACTTTATGAACCCTAATAGACAAAAACATTACTTTTAATAAAAAAAAAAAAGCTAAATTAATAAAACAAAAAACAAATTTAAAAAAAAAAACAAAGTTAAAATAAATTAAGAAACAAATCACAAAAATATTAAAAAAAAAAAAAAAAACTAATCACAAGGTGTGAAAAATAATCATGATATCGCAATACGCTTAATTCGAGCCCTGAGCTATGAAGCAAATTTTTATTTTAAATAAAACTTTTGTATATATTAATTATAATATCAATAAAGTATTTACGATTCTTGGATTATCTATTGTTCAGTTATTTAACATTAAAAATATTTTTCATGGCAAAATACTGTTTTTAGCAATTAACCGTCAGGCAATAAAAATATCCATTGATTGCTAGATTTTTGAAAACTATCAATTAATTTTTTTTACCTCCTAAACAATCGACCTTCATTTTAAATCTATGATTTTTAATCAATAATGTCAATGCTGATAAAAACCTGCTCTTTTTAAAACGCAGTGTAACAACTCAAACTTGTTTACTGTAAGTTACATCCTGTTATAAAACATAGCGATAATATACTTATTGGTCTTCAAATCATGCATGTATGGTAAAATCCCACATAAATAGGCCTTTTTAGAAAAATCCTGCATAGGCTTCATGGAACCAACACGCTACTGAGTTCTTTTCAAAACTTTTTTTTGTTTGCAAATTTCAAGTTTATTTTGTAAATCTATATTTTCATCAAATATAGATCTATATTGCTCATTATTTCATCATGTAACGTGTTTAAAATTAAAATTATTTTCATATCAATAGCTTTGTTTAAAAAATCTCTCCATTCAAGTACTTGACATTTTATTTTACCTGTTGCTATAACAAATAACATTTTCCAAACAGTTAAAAATTTTGAAATTTTAAAGTTATTGAAAAGTTGATATATTTTAATACTTTAAATTAAGAGTGAAAAAAATAAAAATTAAATTATAAAAATAAAATTAAATTCAAATAATAAACTGAGCCAAGAGCATTTCATGGTAATATAAATCTTAATTTGTATTCTGATTTTGTAGAAGAAAAAAAACAACAAAACAAAACAATAACACATTCCAATAACATATTTAGGGCAATACAAACAAATAAACCTTTGTGTGAACAGTAAACTTGACTTTCTCTTTTTCACTTAGAGCATCAGATATATCAACCAATAATGAATTATCACTTAAATCAATTGATTTAGCACTTTCTGACCTCTAAAATAAAACAAAACTAATATATAAAGATATGTGATTATATAAATTTATATATATATATATATATATATATATATATATATATATATATATATATATATATATATATATATATATATATATATATATATATATATATATATATATGTATATATGTATATATGTATATATATATATATATATATGTTTATAAAGGCTATAGCCCACACCCGCCTCCACACCCATGCAAATCAGTTTACACAGGCAAAATAAAGCTCCTGCAAAAAATAAATTTTTGGGTAAAATAAAGTTAAATATTTTTTTTTATTTAGTTATTCTTTTAAAAACTTGCCTAATGATGTCATTTTGTAAAACTTTTTACAAAATTAAACTAAAAAAACAAAAAAAAAAAAACTATTTTGTTCAGGATAAGCTAAAAAAATTAACAAAAAATAATTTTTGAATACTCTGATGTAAAAATAAAAAATGAACAAGTTATTTCAAACTGTTCCATATTATTCTGTGTTATGTTAAAAGATAAATAATTAGTATGTTAAAAAGTAGGCAAAACATGTATGTGTTGCAAAAGAATTTAACATAATAATCTGGGTTTTCAGTATTCTTTGGAACTTTATAAACTTATACAACAGCGCTCAAAATAGTTTTTCAAAGCTTGCTGATCAAATGTAATTTTTTTACAAAAACAGGTTATTTTCCCTTGAAATTGAAAAATAGCCGATCATTGATCGGCCGTTATTTCGATCGCTGATACAATAAAAACTGTTAGATAATAAAGACAATTTCTTTTTTGTATAATCAAACATTTTGCCTAATTGATTGATAAACTAGTTTGTCATACTTTAAAGTTGTTTAAAGTAGTGAATATTTCCCTGTATACTTCTGTGTTAACTTGCTGTTTTTTTTTTGTGAAAAAGGCAGCAGTTTATTTACTAAAAATCGAATAATTCATCAACAGACTGCTAATCAATTTTTAAAGTATAAATTGAGTGTCTGATATAAAGATATCAAGCTATTCAGGTTATCAATTAATTCAAGATTTTAAGCTAAAAAGTAAAGTTTCAGTAAAGAAAATGGCACCTTCCACTAACAGAGTCACACTAGCAACATATTTGAATTAGGATAAAGATAAGGTTTGTGGAAAGGAAACAATCGTGGATAATGGAACAATATTTGTTGTAAAACTATGGTGTAAGGTAGGGTGGTAGTAAGTGACTAGGGCCCTGGATAAAAATGAGACTTTTTGCAAATTTGGCCAAATTATAAGATTTAGCAGGGGTTAGAAATAAATTTATAATTCTTTATATATTATAATTTTATACTTACATTTACTATTTATTAAATTCTAGCATATATTTATGCTAGTATTTAATAAATAGGGACAGATACAGTAAAAGGATGCAACTTGTTGAATGCTTAATTGAAAAGCCAAGCAAGAATGATTTTTGGTTTATTGTATAAGAGATAGCTTGTTTGAGCATCAACAATGATTAGAGAAACAGCATAAAGGAGGATCTAAAGCCTGATGATGTCATCATCATCATCATCAGCAGCAGATGATGATGATGATGATGATGATGATGATGATAATGATGATGATGATGATGATGATGATGATGATGATGATGATGATGATGATGATGATGATGATGATGATGATGACAATAATAATGATAATGATAATGATGATGGTGATGATGATGATAATAACAATAATGATGACAATTATGATGATGATGATGATGGTGATGATTATGATCATGATCATGTTGATCATAATGATGTTTATAAACACAAATATACAAAATAAAACATAAATTTTGAAGAAAAAAAATGTACTTTAGGATGTAAAAATGTTTATGCAGCCCCAGTCACAAACCCGGCCTTGGCTGTATTTGATCAAACCTGGCCCCGGCCCCGGTCAAAAATCAACCCCTGTCATTTACTATAGGGTGATGCTATTTTTTATTTTCTCATGAAATCTTTTCCATAACATGAATAAATGTATTCTAAGAACAGTTAATAAAAAATAATTAAATTTAAAAATTTTATTAGGTCAAAAAAAAAAGGTTACTTTATAGAAATAAGATAAAATATTTATCAGGATAACCTGATTAGTATTTTTATCTTATTAATTATCTTTTATTAGATAATTTTTATATCGTTTTTAAATTAAATGAAGTTAATAGTTACTATACTATAAATTTAACTATCATTGTTGAAGTAGAAGCAAAGAACATTTATTTAATTTTCTAATTTAGTTATAAATCTATTTCCGTAAATATGTCCAGGATAAGTGCTAATGAAGCACTTACGCTGAACCTTTTTTTTTTGACCTAATAAAATTGTTAAATATTTAAGGAAAAAGGCAGACAACTCTAGACCACCATGTTCAAATGAATTGAGGGAGCTTCTGGTATCAGCTGCTCCATATGGATTACAAACCAAAAGCCTGCACCACCATCAAAAGTTGTTATACAAATAATAGTGAAGGATTTGGAGTAGCTCTGGAATATGAAATTTAGCTTACCATCAGTAACCAAAGTTAGAGAATTTTGGCATCACAAAAAAGCTAAATAAACTTGTGGTTGAATATAAAAAATGTTTGAAGAGAAAATTAACTATGGATTTTCTTATGCTGTTTAAATTTTTTTAAATTATGGTCGCTATTAGTTAAATTTTTGTTTTTGAAGTGGTTTCTAAATATCTCGTACTTTTGAAAAACATTGTGTTTTTTAGTAATAAATTAAAAAGTTTTTTACTATTTTCAACACTATTAAACACTACAAAATGTTATTATTCAAGTTTAAGAATATTTAATCATACTATTAAACTATAATAGTATGATTAAGTATAATAGTATGATAAAGTACACAAAACTTTAAAAATATATTCACTAATATTCACTTTTTGTTTGATATTTGGCAGAACATGGAGCTGCACAAAGTCCTACATCACATTCTACACATTCATATCTTGAATCTTTTTGAACTTTGTGTTTGTAACATACCACACATCTTTTCTGAGCATTAGTCTTTCATTATCAATTTCATTAATCATTCATCAAATATATCTTTCCATTAATCATTTATCAAATATAATTTTTAATCTCTTTGTGAGTAAATATTTGCTTTTTTGATAATGATTTTTGTGCTGAAAGAACTTTCTTATCTATCATATTTAAAATTAAAGTGAACACGTGTAAAAGTGAATTATTGAAACAAAAGCTCTCTAATTAAGTAGTAATAAATTTTGTGACAATTAGATGTATAAATATTGATGAGCAAGAATGAAATATGAAGAAATGCTTAAAACCATAATATTACGGCATGGACATTTAGAAACCACTTTTAGTTTGCATATTACGGCATGGACTGTTAAAAGGTTAATATCCTTGATAAAAAAAGAAAAATGAAAAGCAAAGAAAAAATATTTTATAATCATCAAATGGCTGATAGAAAGAGTTGTGTATCCACTAGTCAAAAAATTGTTGAGCATCCTGCTAATAGGCAATTGACATTAAAAAACCTGGATCTTGATTATCTAGAGCAATTGTATACAGAATCAAGCTCTCAAAATGATGGTTTTGAGCCCTTGTTCGAACCATCAAATAGGAAACTAAAATTAAAAGTAAGTTATAATACTTCTCAAAAAAAAAAAAACTTTTTTTGTAAATATATTTAATTTGTTTTTAATTAGAGACAATGTCAGTTGCTGTGATATGTGCCAAAGCTGGAATCTCTACCCGCAAAAGAGCTAGAGTAACTCGCTCATTAAGTTATTTCCATGATGTTATTCCCACTCCACATCAATCTGCTATTTTTAGAGCTGGTAAAAGGTTGCAAGTCATAACTCTTTAATGGGAATGCATTGGCACCATATGATTACGGCATTAAGAAAGTGGAACGCATTGGTCATTAAGTCAGAGGGGCCAATTTTTTGGTACATTGGCCTTAAAACACTACATACTAGTGGAACTTCTAAAAATATAGCAGCTGTGATAAAGGAAACAATGTTACAGCATAATGTTATTGATAAAATATCCCTTATATTATGCAACACCTGCTCTGTCAAAACTGGTTTTTCATGGTCACGTGTATGGTTTAAAATGAGGGAGGAAAAAAGTTATTATAGCATCATCCTAGTGTAAGATCTGCATTCAGTATAAAAAAGAATTGCTTTGCAAGCAATTCATAACATATAAATACAATAATATGAGATGGTTTGACCGATCTAATGGGGATAAGAGAAAAAATAAAAAAAATAGAAGAACTTTATGCCCATTATAAGGATGTTTTGGATAAAGCAGGATTTTTAATTACAAATTTTTTAAAAGAATTCAAAAAATTCAAATACTTTGTAAAGGTAAATAACCTTAGTAAACCAGCCCACAACATACGGAGCCATACTTTAAAAAGTCGACGGACTGAGTACCCAAATTTATGCAAAATAGCAAGTTTAACCATATGCTTATCTGGGTCGAACTCATCAGTGGAACGAGCCTTTAGTCTTCTGATAATGCTTAATTAAGATCAAAGACTCCGATTTAGCCACACAACACTTAATGCTATCTTGGACATTAAAATCAATGATCCAAATTTTAGCAATAATGATAGGAAAAATGTAATCAAACAGGTTACTGATATATTTTTACAAAAACGACAAACAGCTATCTTCGATCCAATAATACAACCTGCTACAATAGTAAATGATGATAAAGACGACATTGATTACAATAGTTTAAGCAGTGAATGGGAAACACCTGAATCAAGTGAAAGTAAAGAAACTGTGTTCGATTTTGAAATTTAAGATATTTTGGGCTAACTAATTTAAAATGAATAAATAATTTATAAATAATTTATAACTATATATTTTCCTTTTGTATTATAAAAATAATACTAAATAATTTCTTCACATTTTATTTCCATTTTTATACTTGGGCTATATTTGATACATTTAAATATATTTTACAGCAATAAACCTGATATAAAAAACAATACTGT